TGGACTATTATATATAGGATGGCAAAATCTCTCAAAGCAGCAAAGAAGGAATAATAATCATGCAGATAAATAATCTAGTACTCAGTGTTATCTATTTTTCACCCCTGTCAGGGACTCAAGATAGCTCACAGATAAAAATAAGAACAGCTAGAAACATAGGGGGAAAATAATTAAAAACCAATTAAACATTGATAGAATTAAAACTTTCTATATATACATTTATTAAAACACAGTACATTAAAGCCATAGAAATAATTATCTCCCAGATTTTCAGTACAATCTCTTTATCATCAATGTACTTATTGATTAGAATAACTCATTGTCAGGTATGTCTGGCTTTTAAAAAGGAAGCGACTATCCTGAAAAAAAACTAAATTCAGCTATGATTTTTTTATTTGAAGCAACAGTTCACCGCTCCCACTTCCCGGCGCGAAGAGATTTCCCTCTATGAAAAGCACACAACCTCACATAGGAAACGGCCTTGTTCTGAGTCATTGACATCAGCAATGTCTACTGACCAGTAGTGGGGATTGCCAGCTAAGTTTGAGGAGGCCGGGTACTGAGTCTGCAACATTTTCCATGCAAATTATTTGCTCTTTCACTGAGATATTGCACACCCTTCACCCCATCCCATGCCATCCCTATACTCCATGACGCAACAGTGACTTCCTTCCTATTTTGTGGAAATCTTCTGCAGCAATCACTCCTAGTGCGATTTGTTTAGAGAAACGCACATCTGTAAACTGTCCTGAGTTTCCTTAGACTGGAGGCTTTAATTAAAAGATTCAGGAATACAGTGACAGAAAATAAAACTTGGGAACAAAAAGTGAAGGTAACTTGAAACTGATTATTTTTACACCAACTGGACTTTGCATAGGAGCCAACTCCTAGGGGCTAGCCAACTCCTAGGGTCTTTGGCCTCCACAATAAAATATTTGAGGGGGAAAGTTGATGGGAATTCCCATTCAAATGGTATGTGTACATTGCATCATGTGATTGATTATGTGGGGCGGGGCTTATCTGGGCCCCCACAATATTTTATTCAAGTTGGCACCCCTGGGACCATGCATTGGATTATACTTTTTCATGCAATCAGCAAGGACTTTTTGCTGATTGCATGAAAACGAGTGAGTCAATTGCTACGATTTTGCTTATCAAAGTTATGGGGTGATTTGGGACTTAAAGGTAAAGGGACCCCTGACCATTAGGTCCAGTCGTAACCGACTCCGGGGTTACGGCGCTCATCTCACTTTATTCGCCAAGTACAGCTTCCGGGTCATGTGGCCAGCATGACTAAGCCACTTCTGGCAAACCAGAGCAGCGCACAGAAACACCGTTTACCTTCCTGCTGGAGCAGTACCTATTTATCTACTTGCACTTTGACGTGCTTTTGAACTGCTAGGTTGGCAGGAGCAGGGACTGAGCAACGGGAGCTCACCCTGTCGCGGGGATTCGAACCGCCGACCTTCTGATCGGCAAGTCCTAGGCTCTGTGGTTTAACCCACAGCGCCACCCGCATCCCTGATTAGGGACTTAACAGCCCTTAATTTTCTGCCGTCTTTGGAATTCTACAGGCATTGAAGTGTGGGAGAGAGACAGAGAAAAGGACTTATTGGTTTGAAGTGGAGTTGGCTATGTTAAGCCACCCATGGGATTCAGCTGTTTGCTGGAAATCTGATGCAAGGCCAGGATTTTGTAACCTTGCTTAGGAGTTTGTTTGCCTCTGCTTATGCTGTGTGTATTTATCAATAAAGCAAATATTACGGAGACACCCTATGCCTTCTGTGCTCTCGCATCAAAGGAAACTTGAGCCTGAAGCATTGCCTCTGGAATTACTTCCTGCTCAGGGAATGGGGTGCACTTAACAGTCTCTAGAGTGGGAACTCTCTGTTTGCAACAGAAATGCAGCTCTGAGAATGGAACTGGGATAGCTCCGTTGGTAGAGCATGAGGCTCTTAATCTCAGGGACGTGGGTTCAAGCCTCACATTGGGCAAAAGATTCCTGCATTGCAGGGGGTTGGACTATAGATGACCCTCGTGGTACCTTTCCAACTCTTCAATGCTATGATTTTACATCGTAAAAGCAGTGTAGCATAGTGGCCGACAGAACAATAACCCAAAGTCCTCTGTTCTAATCTCACCTCTGATATTAATGCACTAATTGGCCATAAGGAAATATTTCCCTGTCTGGGTCAATTACTTACTTCTGAGTAGACATGCCTAAGCACTGCGCTGTAAGAACGCAACTCTTCCCACATAGCTGCTCTCACTTAGTATTGTTTATTAAATTTGCATGCCGCCCTTCATCTGCAGATCTCAACATAAAGATACAATATAAAAAACACAAAACTGCTTAATAGGCAAACAGCAAATGCAAATAGTGTTGTGGCACTGTGTACTATGCCTTTGAGTATCCCTTGCTATAGGAACTCCAGATGACTGCCATGTTAATGTCGTTTTCTCAATATGGGTGCTTACCCATGAAGTATTTCGAAATATTTTAATCTATAATGGAGATCACATGCGGTTGTGGGTTTCAGCATTTTCTTTCCATCAATAGACCCAGCAGCTTAGAACTGAAATATTTAAAGAAGACATTATTTATTGCAACTCTCCTGTGGTTGCTGCATATCTGACATCTATGAAACTGGCAGGAACGATTAGAGATTTCCAAAAGACGCCAAGCACATTAAGAAGGCCTTGTTCATTATAAGTAGCTTTAAAGCGCATTTGAAGCATATTTTGCCTTCCAAGCGTTCTGGCCGCTCGAGTTTACCTCTCACGGAGCTACGGTTTTCAGCAACTCTTAACAAACTGCAGATACAGAATTACTTGAGGGAAATAATGTGCTTCTAATGTGTTTTAAATGTACTGTGTGTAGGCAGGGTGAATCTTTGTTCTCACTTAGCTTTGCTATTTTTAGATACAGCAGCTAACTGTGGCAATACCTCCTTGCTCCGTTTACAGCCTTGGGATGGCAACTAACCCTGAAACCCTTTGCAAGGTCTATTTCTTCTACCTCTAGAAGGATGAAAGCGATTAGCATGAAAGCCCTTTGAAAAGATATCTTGCACCGGTGAGCTATTGCGATGCTGACAGACTCAGCCTTTTCTCATGTGAGATCAGTACTATTCTGAGGCAGGTGGCAGGAGGGTCATTTGGCCTGGGCTCTGAATCTCAAAAAGGGCTTTATGTTTAGATTTTTTTTCTTCATTTTTTGGCATTTGATGAGTATTGCGGTGCTTTTCTGCTGGTTGTAACAAATTGTGATGCTCTCAGCTTAGAGCTGCAAATCTTAAATGAGTAAAAGATGCAATTTGGTAAAAGGTAGCGGGGAAGGACGCGGGTGGCACTGTGGGTAAAAGCCTCAGCGCCTAGGGCTTGCCGATCGAAAGGTCGGCGGTTCGAATCCCCGCAGCGGGGTGCGCTCCCGTTGCTCGGTCCCAGCGCCTGCCAACCTAGCAGTTCAAAAGCACCCCCGGGTAAATAGGGACCCCTTACTAGTGGGAAGGTAAACGGCGTTTCTGTGTGTGGCTCTGGCTCGCCAGAGCAGCAATGTCACGCTGGCCACGTGACCTGGAAGTGTCTCTGGACAGCGCTGGCCCCCAGCCTCTTGAGTGAGATGGGCGCACAACCCTAGAGTCTGTCAAGACTGGCCCGTACGGGCAGGGGTACCTTTACCTTTACCTTTACCGGGGAAGAGGACCAAGACAGGTGGAGGCTGTGTAGTTCCCCCCCCCCTGCAGAGAAGCATCCATGACCGCAGGGACATATGTCAAGGCAGATGTCAAGGCAATAAACAACTATTTTACTTTTAAAAGACAACTGTTTAGTTTTTAATGTCTGACGCTGTATTGTTTTTAATATTCGATTGGAAGTCGCCCAGAGTGGCTGAGGAAACCCAGCCAGATGGGTGGGGTATAAATAAATTATTATTATTACTACTACTACATAAAACTAGTGGTTATGCAGGCATGTTTCCAACAATGATCCTCAGGGTTAGGAGATACATGCACACACATCATTGGAATGTTGAATACCAATTATACAATTGGCATTCTATAATCATCTTCTTGAATACTCAAAAGAAGAAATGTAGTCTTGTACAACCTCTCATTCCGTCACAAGTGCTCAGCTGACATGCTGTCCGGAGGAACTGTGTCTGTAGTCATGGGTCATTTGTTTAGAAATCACAAAGTCCTGCTGGGATTCCCCTTTTCCTCTCTCTATGAGCCTATTTGACTTCCCAGACCACAGCAGCATGACCTCACATTTTCCAAACAAATGTCAGCCGAGAGGAGTGATGAATTAACTAAGGCGCAAACCCTGGGTGCGTGGGTTGGAGACTTCACAAGGAAATCACTACTGCCGTTTTCATTTCTACGGAAGCTTCGACACAGGATCAACTGCTATCTCAAAACACACAAGCAGCAGTAGACTGCCTATATATTGGGAGTGATTAAGCTATACCTCCACCTAGTGGGTGATTCTGTCATTTAAGAACATTAAGATAGTTGGGTGCAGTGCTTTTTTCCAGAAAAAGAGGTGCAGGAGCCAAAGTTGTTGAGTTTTTTTTCAGGGGCAAAACAACACTTTTGGGGGGAGAGAATATATAGCCTGGAAGGTAGTACTGGGGACTCCACCTGTGGACCCTACAGATCTTATTGTAATGGGGGAGGGGGGGGATTCAGCTTTTGACTGCTGTTGCTTCAGCAAATTCTGAGAAACACATTCAACCACTGCTACTCATACTCAGTGAAATGGTTATATCTGATCATGTTTAGCCACAGTGGTTCCTCCTTGGTTGCTTTGCGGATTGGTTCATTGCTATTCCACCACCACAACTGAGCATGTGCGCTGTGGTACTTTCCTCGCTCCCCAGCAAGGAGGAAAGCAAACATAATAGTAATAAATGGCTTCTCATAAAAGGATCAAGACCATCATGGCACGGCTGCTCTTTAGCACGTTCAGCATGAAACAAAACAGAAACATTTCACTTCTAAATTCTTATAGAATGCTTTATGGTTTAAATCTCCATGACCGCAGATGGACAGATCCTGCCACTCTTCTGTTGCTAACCAACAGGCATACATACGGTTTCTGCTGAAAACGATTTATTCTCCCAGGTTTTAATAAATCTTTTTATTCTTGCCATCTCTCTGCTTTTACAGCTGCTTTGTTGTTTTGCATTTTTCAAAATGTGCTTTTGTTTGAAGTTCATGTTAATGGTTGAATTTTAAATATTATTGTTCTCCAATTTTGATGCTTTTGCTGAAAGGCAGGAAAAAGATCTTATCAGTTGATAATTTACTGGTGCCCACTACCAAGTTTGCATGTTGAGAACTCATGCAGCTTTTTACACATTACAGTCTGACTGCGATATAAAACCCCCTGCTAGAGGACTTCCTAGAGACATCTGTTTGATTGCTGTCCGACCTTAGGTCTGATGCAGAAGAGCTCCTTAGGTTCTTAAAATCAGTTACTATTGACAGGAGTGTTTCAACATCTCAGACATTATATATTTAGAACACACACACACACACACACACACACACACACACACCGCTCTTGTCTACCAGATAGAATTTGCCTATTTGCTGTGCAATTCAGGTAGCCTTACCACTGCCATGGAGTTCAAAACACCATATGGCTTGTCATGCTGCAATGAAGCTTTCATCTACAACTGTACCACTGATTCACCTTAACTACTGCCACTTAATAACTGAAATATATCATTGCCAATGCCATATCCCACTAGCAATATATTCTATAAACTATAAAGGTGTTATGAAATGAATACTAAAGTTGTTACTGTTTCTTTAAGACTTACGGTACATCTGCTGTAATAAGGTTAGAGTGTCTTTAAATGACCAGCTGACCGAAAAAACTTGTTTTCTAAACTGTTTTAACTTAGGTTCCACTTACCCTTAGTCCCTCTTCCCCAATCTCACCAGCAGGAACTGCAGACTTCAGCTGGTTTCATTTGAGAAAGGCTTTCAAGGCAATTCTCCGGGCAGCTCCAGAAGCTCCTTTCTGAATTTTCCTCACTGCTGGATCTCCAGCTTAAGCCAGTGATTCAGCTCTTTGGGGGCATAATATATATCCAGCCTGAATAGCCTCCTGCCTGTCTCCCACCTGCTTCCAGACATCCGGCTTCTCCATCAGATTTTTCTTCTTAGCAAGCCTTCCTCCTCTGGTCAGCAGTCTCTGCTGTTACTCAACAGTAGTAGAATAGACTTATTTATGTCTCAGCCACCTTGCCTTCAGCCAAGTGGATTTGCATGATGTAGACTTCCCACTTTTCCCATCCAGTGAGTAACCCAGAGTTTCTGCCCAGTAAGCCAATCGTAAGGTTAATTTTACAATTCTCTCTCACAGTATATAAAACTACTGCATTCCCAAGACCAACTTTAGGTACTTACATAACTGGATAATCAAATGGGATGGACACTTTTAAAATTTAAACCTTGCATGCCCCCCCCACATTGCACCTATAAAACAAGTCTCATCTTGTAAACATATTTTAAAAGGTGATTTCTTCATAGAGACCTGCACCACAGTAGTAACATATGCAACAAGCACATTAGTTTAGAATAGATCATGGAGCAGTGACAGTACTTTAGGTCATGTGGTTATTTCTTTTGGGAGTGCTGCATTTCTGTCTGGAACTAGAATTGCAACGAACCACATTATCCAGACAGCTCCCACGGTGTCTGCCTAGATTAATACAACATGGAAAATCTTACAAGTATTCTTCTTCTTCATTTGCAGGAAGTTACACTGTAACAATAGGAAAAATGGGTATTTTCTATTTTAGACCACTAGGTGAGAGGAGGAGGAAAGGGCAGCTCAGTAATGAAACACTAGGTTGGAGTTATTTATAAACTTCCTCCTTTCCTGGAAACTACCTAAATCACATATTGTTGTTTGTTTGTTTATTTAACCAATTTTCCATTTGTCAAAGTAAACAAGAGTAAATTACAAAACAGCTTACTTTTATGTATACAGAATAAAACATAAAATCAGTATTTCTATAAACTGGATCCTGAGAGGAGATGGCAGTGGTTATAATATAATAATAATTTATTATTTATACCCTGCCCATCTGGCTGAGTTTCCCCAGCCACTCTGGGCGGCTCCCAATCGAGTGTTAAAAACAATACAGCATTAAATATTAAAAACTTCCCTAAACAGGGCTGCCTTCAATGTCTTTTAAAAATAGGATAACTGCTTATTTCCTTGACATCTGATGGGAGGGCGTTCCACAGGGCAGGCACCACTACCGAGAAGGCCCTCTGTCTGGTTGCAGTGTTTTTCAAAGTAAGCAGACAGATTGGGTCAGGTAAGGAATGTTTTATTACTTCAGATTATAGCTTAGCTTTGTTCATGCACATATTGCCAATTCCTTTTAATTGCAAGACACACTTTTACTCTCAAAAGGGGGTGAGCTATAAACACCAAACTCTGCTATAAACTGTTGACTCCTCTCTTCCATGAGCTTCAACATTTTTGTAGTCAATCAAATCATGCCAGACAGCATCAAAGTTGTCATGTTTCTCTTCTCCTCTTGCCACTCTCAGCTTTTGAGGATCATTTTTCTAACAACACTGCCCATCACACTATGGTATTACCTGTGGCATGTGTTCAATATTTGTAACCATTTCCATGTTCTGGCTGTTGCCATTCTATAGGCAGTTAGTAAATATGCTATGCCCACTTCACATTCGGGGAAAGGACTGGTCTATGAAATGAAGAGCACAAGTAGAAACAAAGCCCTTCCACTCCCTTTGCAATGCCCCAATGTACCCAAGCTGGCTACATTCTTCAGTCAACTAAAAGCTTAGAGTTTTCATATTATTATTCAAATGCAGAGTACCTTTGTGAAACAGCAGGGAAGGGGGCCTTTTCTGTAGTGGTGCCAAGGCAGTGGGATGCCCTGTCAACGTTCACTTGGCCCCATCACTGGCAAGCGATCAATATTTTATTTTCCAACACACATTTCCAAACACCGTTTTGTGATTTGGCAGCCACTATGTATAACAATGAGGCCGACTCTTAGCATAGTCAAACTGCACAGTCAAGCCCGCCCTCCCCACAGGCCTAGGGAGGCTATGCAGATTTAGTCAGTTGCATTTAACAAGAATGTGCGACACCATCTTATTTGTTCCAGACCAGGTATTATTTACTACTAGTGTTACACAACCCATTCACTCCTTCCACCTGGTAGCAAGAGCTCTTGCTGCACTCAAGTTAAAAGAGGTGCCAAGGGAACACGAATAAATGCCTTCAAATATAAAACTCTGGAGGGAAACTGCAATTTTGGCATTACTCCTAGCTATACTATTATAAAAATATGTGATTAAATCCTAACATAGTGAGAAGACATTGCATATGGAAAGATAGAAGACACCTCTCAGATATTGATTTCCAGTTTCATTTGTGACACAATACACCAGCCGCTTTTTATGTTGCCTTTGTACAAAGGAGATGCACTATTCCCATTAAATTCCAGGAACTGCTATTGTTGGGTTTATGGGATGATATCTGGAAGCCAAGCTCCTTATTTCTCTCTTAAGGAGTGTTTTCACAACTGCGGCCAGCACTTTTGTAATTGTGCTCTCCCCCCAACTGCATTGCGTGAGAACATGCATTTCCGCCTTTATAACCATGTGCAATTGTGCAGATAAAAGCAACGTTAAGAGTTCTTCTCAGCCAGTGTCTTGCCTTTTCTCACTCAATACAGTTGAATTCAGTGCAAGTTTATTTGGAAGTCAATTCCACTGAGTTAAATGGCATTTACATCCCATTAAGTGTGCACGGGATTGCATCCTAAGTAGCTTTATATAATTTTCACGTGTGCAATCAGCCAACTTTCCAGTTGCCCTAGGGCTGCAAAGCAGAAGAGAAACATGTCCCAGCCTCTTCCACTAGTCAAGAGGACTAAGACTGCTGGTATCTGCCATACATCCGGATTTTCCTGGCCATTACCAGAATTTCAAAGGTGGAATTGATGTCCGGGGGGAATTTCCGAAAGGGGTTTTGGGGGTTTCCTGGTTTTTACTTTTTGAAAATATGGCAACCCTAGCATACACACATGTGCGCGTTAGGGATTTAGCATCACTGCCTGTTGCTTGTAAACCCAACTTGGGAATCATTTGATTGAAAGGAGGGTGTAATTTTTCAATAAATAAAATGTAAGTGCAATTCTACAACTACATAACTTTTCAAATGAAGACAACCCCCGCCCCCCGCAATGAAATACAATTCCATGTGGGGCAATTTTGTGCAAATATTTCAGGACCAAAGAACAGACAGGCACAGTAATTAACTCTGGTTCAAAGTTTAATGAAGGAAAGATACACAGCTTTACTTAAGCGTACATCCGATAATGCTATTTGTATAATTTTAATCAAAAGCATATAAGCAAGTTGTCTGTCCCCATCTTTATGCCATTCATCAGGGAAATGCTACATGAATGAAATACAGATTATTTTTTATCACCAACAAAAAACATTGAAGAGGCTAGATACTTACCAAGGTGCCAGATCAGAAATACGTTCCCTCACTTTCTGGTTCTCCTGGTGTCTGCAGGACTATACAAGTTGTTTTCATATGATCAGAGTAAGATCACAGGATCTGTTACAGTATTTGGAACTGAAAACATACTCCACTTAGGTCACTCCAGCTGCACAGCAATAAGCAGGACAAAAGCCAGTTGCTTCATACTATGTAGAGCTGTTTACAAATATAAATGCAATCCAATATATCAACAGGCCCAAGTGTTTAGTGTGTCCCTCCAGAAAATTCAAGCTTGCTGTGCATGATCAAAGCCATTTAGATTTGGTTAACCAGTTTATACCAAGTAGCAATGATCTAGTCAGCATTAAGGCATTGCTTGAAATAGAAGCTACATCCACAAGTCAGAGGAGAAATAAATATGATCCTGGTGATACTCCTTGTGCTGGGGTTCTAAACTGCATTTGCCACTCCTTGTGTAGTGTTGTGCTTGTGTGAAGCAGCATATCCTACCACACACCTTAAGAATTAGGTGTTTCCCTGGCATAGCTGAGCCCTGTACAAATCACTTGGGGATAATCATATGATTAGGTGTCTATGTAGTTTGGGATTTCAGTGACAACTGCATTACCAGGTTATCTTACTAATCAACAAACTAGTTTTAAGTATTAACTTTCCCTAGTATAAAGGAAAGTAAAGGGCACAGAAGGAAAGTTAAGACACAGAAACTATCAAAATTTTAATTATGTTTACAAGATACCCTTGTTTTCAATAAAAGCACAGTAAGACAGGATGTGTTCTAAAAAAAAGTGTCTCCTAAATGAATGGCAGGTTCTTCATGTTCATAGTTTCTCTTGCAGGTGAATTAATTTTTGGCAACTCAAAATTTTTAACATGATGCCTAGGTCAACTCAATTCTTGTGGCTGAACTACTAAATGCCAACAGTAGCGGTTGGGTTTCAGTTTTGTTTCTTCTGCCCACTTGCCCACTGCCCCAAAATAACCTGAACTGTACAGAGCTGGCAGATTTAAGATTTTCATCCTTATAAAATACTATATATTGACCACTAGAGAAATGGGACTGAGAAATACTAGAAAAACAAGGGACCAAGACATTCTAAACAACACTCTTGATTCATATATTGAATGGTTACAGCGACTACTTGTTCTTCTGGGTTCTTCAACCTTTACTATGAAATGCAGCTAGATTTAAATTTCCACATCTGTTGTAGTTTTAAGAAGCATTTTCATTATCCACAAGTTGGTAGGCATGATACATAGCTTTGTTTTCTCATGCTGATCACAAAATATTATTTTTAGTTGTAGCCTACTCCCCAATCCAAAGGCTTTTTATGCCGTAACACACCCAATACCACAGAATGAACCAATTAACTGGATTTGTTTCGATCAAACTAAAATGTAGGAGACCAGTAACCCTGTGCTAGCTTAACTCTAAGCCAACAAGCCCAGCTCAAAACAAGGAGGTTTTAAGAAGCATTCTAAAGCTGCTCCAATGAGATTTTGGCAATTCTAAAAAGAAGTTTCAGGATTGCTGAACATGAATATAAGGTGGCATTAAGAGAGACACTGCAATGGCACAGAGGCAGCAGCAATCTCATACTGATGAAGCAATCAATAAAGCAACAGATTTACCTAGAGTTGGTGGGAGAAGCTGATATTTCTGTGTAAGGGCTGTGACCACTTCTCAACTTTATTTACTTGAATGACTGCCAACAGCTTTAGTTTGCCACTTTGAGAGCAGGTTTTTAAAAGCATGTTGCCAAATTAAGTTGGCTAGTAAACATGGCAGCAGAAAATTAAAGATACAGAAACATGCAGTTCTAATTAAGATGCAACTACATTTTTGCACAAACCACCAGTTTAAGCAAAACAGCAGCACTACAGAAATGCATAGTCGACTTTAAGAAATAACCAAAGAACACTGAATATTCAGAACCCACTGAAGAGAGAAGGGACTACCTAAGAAAATTATCTAGGCTTTAAAGTGTTGAGATTCAAGGGTTTCAGAGGACACAGCATTTCGTATCAATAATGCCCATCACAAAAGATGTGCTCATCAGTTAACAAAGTTGTGCTGGTGGGTGTTTGTAAGGACTGCTAAGAAGAAAGAATCAGAATATTTAATTACTCTTGTTTTGTTAATAGCATAAACACCCATTCACCCCAGATGTGATTGAGGTTATTTTCCAATCAACCTTAGTCAAATGATTTCCCACTTAGAAAAAAAGTGCATTACTGGATCCCTGACTGGAATGCCACCACATGATACACTAAGCCCAAATTGGTTATTTACTGTAATTCCCCTTCCCTTTCTTAATCGGAGCCTGTGAATATTTATCCCTTTTAGGTGTAGCAAGATGCAACCCTCTCCAGATAACTTATGGCTCCATCCTCATGTACTAAGATGGCATTTGTAGTACAGGATTTCAAACAAACATCAGGTACTTACAGATTAAACTAACCTGTACTGGCAGTGCTGTGGGATTTTTTTCTTCTCTACCAGTAAGTAGCAAATGCTGAAATTCTGCTGCTAGTCAACAAAAACACAAATTATATTAAACCAAAAAGCTTAATTCATAATTTAGTTTTAAATTTCGAAACACAAACCAAAATTCTTGCACTTTTTTATAGCAACTGTTAACTCCTAAGTAGTCCGTCAAACTGAACTCTGAAATATACTTGTTGAACCAATTCAAATGTTAAAGGGTTACAGTGCAAGTTGCCAAAAAAAAATGTAGCGTTCTTTCAAGGGTATCAGTGAAAATGAACTGGAAAGCCCTGTACTTGTATTACTACTAACAGTCCGAGAAAGCAAAATATAACTGAACCTTCAAATGCTGACTGAATTTCTAAAGGATTATAAAATATTTTATGTTAGCTAAGTTGACTATTCTTAAAATTAAGCACAAGAACTTCAACTCCTAACTTTTAGCAACTGTTGTGTGAAGTAGAGGTGTGACATTTTGAAAACAGTGCTTGCCAGGGACACATCAGTGATTCAAAACTGCCATTTTAGTGAAGGCATTTTTGTGCCTTCACATTTATTTTTAATTAAGGGAACATAATTAAGGAAGGGAACAACTTATTTAGTCTTGCCAGACACTGGCAAGAATGCTCCACTGCAAATACGTTATCTGAACAAGGTATGGAAATAGTGCAGTGAGACATTCCAATCTATTAAGTTGGCAGCGCAGACTCAGTAGGCCAAAAAGAATGGAAGTGAGATTCTATGTTGAGTGTCGTCGTCCCGTCCCCCACCCCCCATTTCAGCATGGCTCTCTTAAGTATGCTTCCCAGGACAACAAATGGTTAAGTTGACCAAAACAGACTACAAAAGTTCAGAATAGGAAATGCCCAAAATGTATGATCTCTCAAAAACCTAAAAGCAGCTTGAAACCTTAAAAAAAAGCACTTACAATGCTTTTGCAATGCTCTCTGTTCTAGCAAGTTACTTCACATTTAATAGCTGGCACTGACAATGTAACCATGTTTTCATAGGATTGTAAAGTTGGAAAGGACGAGGGTCACCTAGTCCAACCCATGCAATACAGGAATCATTTGCCTAAGTTGGGGCTCCAAGCCACACCCCCTGCAGTTAGGAGTCTCATGCTCTACTGACTGAGCTATTGCGTTACCCAACAAGATTCCTTAAATTGACATTATTCTGTGATCAAATATTTTATAAATAAATTTACGAGTCACAGTGGTCAACAAGCAATATGGACTGAATTATATATTAAATGTTTTATTATACAAAAGGTGTGAAGTGATTGTGTGGTTTCATTTAACAATAAACATCCATCAAAAGATTCAGATGCATATAATTTTAAAGCGAGTAGTGCTGCCTCAGTTAAAACTGAAATAATACTAATATAGCAAGAGTGGCCAGAATTAATGCCACCTTGCAGTTGCCAAACTTTAAGTATAATTAACTCAAGTGTATGCCTATGACACAAAATGATCTATAGTTTTGATTTAACTACTTGTATCTACTTGAATACACTTCAGTCAAGTCGGAGTACTTCAAATAGCAGCACCCCAGAGCAGAGGAAAACGGTAGCCAGACACAGCTGGAACCTGTTTTCTTCCCACTTTCGAATTAAGACATGACTCTGCATGACATATGGATGTACACAAACTTATCTAAAGTATTTCCACTCCACAGGGGCCTCAGAGAACTCTCAAACTGCTGCTTATCGACTTCTTTACTGAAAAATCAATTTGACAATTTTGCACAAGAGCTCTTAAAGGGCAACTGGGGGCGGGGACCGAATACTATGTAAGCAATGACGGCAGTTTTCCTTTGAATTGCTAATGTACAAAATCCCCAGACTTCTTTTTTCAATGCGAGAGTTTGGGTAGCATATTGAAGTTCTGTGATGGCAGAAAAAAATTAACATCTGGGCGAACTGCAATTCAGAATTGTAATTTAAATCTTAATTCTAAATTTATTTTTTTGAAGTTCACTTGGTCGTGCGTCTCACTTCAAGAGATCAGAATGAATGAAGCACAATGTCCCAAGAACCACCTGAGACTACTATTGAAGTCCTGAAAAGAGGTGTACTGCAGGTAGAGGAATTTCTGAACTAAAGCCAAAATTTAGAAAGTTGTAGCAAAGGAAAGCAATGAAACCTGTTTGGATCTCCTTTGCAGTACATTCATACCGACTTTTAGGTTGCTCTGCAATTATAAAGAAATAGGCACATACATTTGTTCAAAATCCTAGTATCTCTCAGTTCTTCATAAACCATAAAGTTAATTAGGTATATGCTAGAAAATGTGATTGTAGGACAGCTGCAGAAGTGTAAAAAATAATAAGGCTCAGATTGGATGAAGGGAATATTCAAAGCTAAACATGTTCTTTCTTATCAAGTGATTCCTGTCTAAAATCATGCAACTGGATCAAGGCACTCATTTATTTAATCTATTTTATTACAGGGTGACACAGTAAAGGCATCCTAACACCCAAGCTATTTTTTCGTGGATACTCAAAAAGGTAACAGAAGCCATGAATACAACCCTTCTATTTCAAGTCCCTCCAAACAAAGCATGTTTCAATAAATTGGCTATTGAGCAAGGGGGGTGGGGAAACATTGAAAAAAGCAGATCTCAAGTGCAGAGGACATTGTAGAAGAGACGCTGATTGCTATTTTCCATCTTCAGTACGGAGTCCATCTTCACCATTAATTGTCAAGAGTCACGTCACACACAATGACAATACACTGAATTGAGGATTTGAATGCAGTTTACGTTCAGATGTGAGGTAGTCACAGTGAACTTTACTCTGGATTACAATGTCTCGAGAAAATGAGAAGCTTGCAGAGGGTTCTGCATGCATGTGAGAGAAGTGACAGGCAGCTGATTGTATTGCTTAGGTATTACGACAAAGGTAATTCTAAGTAAGCGTTTTAAAACTGCAACCACGAAAACATGAGTTACAGCCAGAGCTAGTGGATGCCACAGAAAACAAATCGACACTTGGATTTGGAAAAGCACTTTGAGGATTGGGTGAGAGGGCTGTGTAAGACAGGGATGGAGAACTTTTAGCCCTCCAAATGATGCTCATGCAAGCCTTGATCACTGACAATAGTGGCTGGGTGCTGATAAGATTTGGAGCCCAACAACTTATGGAGGGCCATCCCTTGAATTAAGGGAAAACAGCCTCTCACACCAAATTCCCAAACTCTTAAAAAACTAAGTAAGAGTTTAAGAAGCAGTTTGAGGCTCTGCAAGTGCAAACTGAAGGGACCACCCAGAAAATCTAGGTGCCTTGTGAAAGCTTCAAACTCTCTCAAACGAAAACTAGATTTGTTGCAAGAGTTGCGGGTAGAAGTAAATTCTCAAGTATTCCTGAAAATCTTTTATCAGCAGCTTTCCTCAGAATGTTAAATCTTTCTTTTAAAGTAATGCATGTGTTTTCACATGAGTCTAGCAATACATTTTCTAGGAAGGATTCAAATGGCACCAAAACCCCTAAACGTTTGTTTTATGTTCTGTGCATAATATATGGAAAATTGCTTACACTAGGAATACCTAAATGTCTATGCTCATTTATGTTCCAGTGCACATAAATATGGCAAGTTGTTTACCTTTAAAGTCAGGCTGTTGAAAGAATCATGTTTCCTACTAAACATTTATCTCACTTGTTCATCTTATGAAACTCACAACTGCATTTTTCTCCACTCTGTGGGCTCTACATTAATATTAACTTATGACAGATAACATATTTAATGATAAGGTAATTGTTTCAGGTAAATTTCTGTTAAGTTGATGTCACTGACCCCCAACTGCAGAGGTGTGTATCAGTGGAGAAAAACTGATTTCAACACAGGCATTTTCTTAACAATACTAAACACATCCAACAAAACTCCTGGACTTTTAAAATTCACAGCACCATTTCAAAGGCAGTCATCTTGCTGTTAAAAGATGGCATCGCTACACCAAGTTTCAGAGGGTAAGGTGATGGAGGGATTAACAATTGAACAAGAAATGTTTTGACTCATTTTAAGATTTCTGACTGCTAACAATAAATTTAAGCACTAAAGTCAGAGTATCAATATTAATATAGAGCCCATCAAAAGATTATAAAAATCCTAAATTAAATTAAAGATAGGAGCCTTCACCAAACTTGCTGCAAGTTTGGGGACATGAATATCCAACAGCTATAAAGCTGTGAAAGCCCCTAGAATGAATAAAATAAATCCCACTTGCCTCAGACTGAACAGGGCAACACTGAGACTCTGCCTCAGCCTGTCCTATGGCAGGGCTATAGGAAGAAGAAAAATTTAAATTTTAGAAAAACACAACCCAATTAAGTTAAAAATACATGCAATCAAAATTAACAAAATTCCAATGATCAAGCACAGATTTGGTCTCAACTTTTAAGCTCCACACAAATCAGATATGGAATCTGTAAACCAGAATTAATGTATAGAAGAAAAAAACCCAACTAGAGTGCTCACCTTCCAGCTTGACCAGTGCTATATGACACTCAGTAGAAAGTGGGTGTTTCCCCTACAAGTGATAAAATATTCTGAACTAATGCAGTAAAAGTGAAAAATGTAAAAAAACGAATCTGCTGTTCAGAAACTTTACATCACTCTTGCATAGTAGTTAGACCAGTACAATTATTAAGACAACTGTATTAATCTTTTTTTTAATGTCAGAGGTACGAATTTGTTAAAGTATCAAAATTCATTTCCATAATGGCCAAGTTTAGATGTAGCAGGAAACCATGGTCTCCAATTTGGAGAGTGAGCCATGGGCTTTTGTGCACCCTACTGCTTTTGCGACTCTCAAGGAGATAAAAAGCTTCTACTTTCAATTAACTCAAAACCATGGTTGGATCATCACTTCTTATTACAAATACTGTAAACAAGTAACAGTTCCCCATGTTCAGATATCACAAGGAACTAAGTTTTTTGTTCCTTCCTTGTGGGCACAAAAGAGAAGGAATGGAGGAAATCACAAGAGACTTGAGATTCATTCTCATAACTGACCATGGTTTGCTTACATGTATGAATGACCCCAGCCTATGGATTAGCAACACCTACGGAACTTTTTATTCTAAAAACAAGCTTGTATTCAGAATTTTCAGAAAGTTCAACATAAAGGCCTTGAATATATGCTGAAAATAATAATAAGCTGTTCCCTTGCACCTCCAACAGATGCAAGAGCACCCTCTCTCAGTGGAAGCAGGACGGAAACTGATTGGCACTCTTCCACTGAGAGCAAATAGATTTCAAAACCTCTATCTAGAAGATGGAGGGGCCTACGGGCTTCAGAATGCCTGCCTCCAGCGAGGGGGTCGGAATTAGTTATCTCTAACCCAAGCATACAGCACAGGTGAATCTCTACAGCAGGGATGGGGAACCTGTGCCACTCCAGGTAATATAAAGGGGCAATACAAGGCTACAGTAGAAATTAGTAAATTTCTGATCAAATTCTATCTACTGGATCCAGAGTTCCCATATTCCTGCTGGACGAAGGGGGAGGAGATCTGTACCAATTTCTCTTTCCTCTTGCAAAGCTGCTCTGGTGAGCTCTGAAGCCATGTGGAAAGTGGTGCAGGGGCTGAAGAGGAAATTTGCCTACCCCTCTGTCCAGCAGGAGCCTCTGGATGCAACTAGTACAAACTGTACACTAGTTCTTTTAAATGTAAAATGGCCAGTATGGGCTACAAAAGGCTTTCTAATGGGCTCATTAGGAATGAAGCATGTTACAAGAATCATTGTGTTTAATTTTGCCATAGACTGAGGAAAAGTTACCAACACATGCTTAAGCAAGCCCATTGCCAAAATGGTTTGCCTCTTTAGTACTGGGATCTATAGAGACAGTAATGTCAAAGAAAACGTCAGATATGTGTTTTCATGAATGAGAAAAACAAGCATAACCTCTTCAGATAATGGTGAACAGGTATGTATAATTGCACAATTGCCATCATAATAGTGCAAAAGGAAATAAATGAACAGCTAAAGGGGTGAAGTAATTAGAAAATAGTGAACATGGCTGCATATTCTGAAGTACCTTTTGGGGAAATGGGTAGCCAGTCAACAGAAAGCATATTCAAAGTGTCAATAACACTGCTCAGACATTTAATACACAGTACTCCAGCAAAAGAAATTTCTCAAAATGAAAATTTAAAACTTAAAACAATGAGTGAAGATCACAAAGCCAAAGTTTCTAATGGAAGGCAGGACATTTTTGAAAGTTACGAAAATATAAAAAGAGGATGTACAGAAAGCAGCAAAGGAACTTCAAGCATGAACAATAAAGTTTTTTGAGACCAAGCAAAGGACTGAAGTAGACTGTACGCAAATCGGAAATAGTTTTTACTTTACAAATTGGTGCTGTTAACATGCAATACTACTATTAGCTAGGGGTGGAGTGCAAAAATGACAGTAACAGAATTTGTCTTTATAAATCAACCGATGGAAGTAGGAACAGGAGTTTTGCTATTCCCAGCTCCCATGGAAATACTTATCTTGCTAACAACAGAAAGCAATAAAAAAGAGATCTGGTTTGTACTGCATATAAAGAAACAAGGCTCAAAATGCTGAGGCAAAACCTCCCAAACACATCATGCCCCTTGAGAGCAACAACTGCTCAGTCATCCAAGGAGATAATTTTACCCCCTTTCCTGCTAGGTTTTATAAATGGGACAGAGTCCAGTTAAAGACACAGCTGAAACCTCGCCACAGCTGTTTTCTTGACACACAGTCATGAGGCAAAATGAGGACAATGTTTGAATCACACAGGGCAGCTTCAGCTGTAGTTTTTAACCAGACTGCTTTTTGCTATGCCCAGATAGAGATTAATTGATCAATTGATTAAGATTAATCTGATATTTTGCAACCTATGTTTTATGGTGAATCCCTCTCGGCTGGTCACCTTTATTACAGAAGCCAATGCTTGCACCTAAGCTTTATAAAGAGAAATCTTTAATAAAAAATGTTTTTTTTTAAAAAAATGTTAGGTTAAGTAGCTTGAGGTCTCTAAACTGAGGAAGAACCGAAGCAAGGCCAAAAAATGTGCTCTACAATAGCATTTTCTTAGTAGAAGCACATTTATACATAGCAAACGTAAGAGCACACCAATATCATAACCAGCGAGCTATGAAGAAGTCTTAAGAAAGTGCACCATTCAGGGGGGAAAACATGTCTTCTTAAGCCCAAGACTTTGTTGCAACTGCTTAATAAGTGTACAGGTCTATTTACTTGTTCAGGAGTCAGCTACAGCATACAGCTAAAGTAGTGACTTTGAAGTTCAAATAATTCAGAATATATCAATGTAGCATCAGGAAATCTGTATTTATTATACCACAAACTACCATAGCATGCATCAGTACAAACCTTCAGGCAGTTGTCCACAGCTGGTCATGAATAAAAAGACAATTTTTTTCTTTCATTTTATTACAATAAAGTTTAACAGTACAGGAAGTCACGTGAACTTAGTAGGTCAATTTTATAAACCCTGCAACAGGAAACTCTAAATACATTAAATATCGTTACACGTTCAGACTTAAGTGTACAAGTAGATGGTAACAATAAAAGCCCTCACCAAACTATTGTTGGGGACATGAAGTCCAACAGCACCTGAAGTGCTGTGAAGGCATGATTTTATGAACAGCAACGTAAGGTTACAGAACTTGCCTTTAAGATGGTACGTTCATGTATTTCCAGCGCCTTCACAATTTAACGAACCATATTTACTATACTTCACTTCTAAAAACCTAGATGAAACATGAAAAAGAAGCCATACAGTATAAATTGCAACATCAGGGAAAGTTCCTGTTTTATTATTCTAAACAAATTTTGCCATGTAAAATAAGAATGTCCAAAAAGTTCCTTGTATGTGGAAAGATTTTTTTTCCTCCCCTAAAAGTCACAACGAAGTTTTAATTGATGGAAGCTTGGCTATATTAACAGCACAAGATGAGAAAAGGTTTAATCTCCAAACCTATTAGAGCGTTTGCAGTAGCATCAGTAGCGGCCACCTTGCGACATTACAGGCGGTCTCATTCCCATTGGCGGTCGAGGAGGTCCACCTTGATAAGGAGGCACCATTGGGGGCCCTTGACCATATGGAGGCATTGCACCAGGAAGGTATCCTGGCATGCCCTGGTGATGAGCACCATACTGACCTGTGAAGGTAAAGAAACAAATTTACAAACACCTTTAAGCAATACTACTGCTAGTAAAGCATTTAGGCTGCAATCAACTTGCGTATTTTTGTAAATCGCTTCAAGCTCGTATTACAATCAAGTAGCATATAGACGCTGCGAAATAATTAAATACATAAATTGTATAGGATTTCAAGAAGCTTTAGTGTGTTTTTACCATGGGGTGGCATTGGAGGCCTCATTCCTTGTTGCTGGGGGGGCATTCCCGGCTGCGGTGGCATCATACCTCCCATTGGTCCAACTGGTGGATTGCCCATGGATGCCTGCCCAGGTCGAGGGAGGTTACGCTGATATTTAGGCAACTGTGCTCTTCTTTCTTCCTATGAAGGGAAGCACACAGGGAGAATTTCAACAATATGAGATCAAATCAAAGGTCAGTTTGAGACACAAGCACAGCTTAGGTAACACTCAAGGAAGACTATTTAAATTGGCTTACTCAACCAATTAAATCTCATCTTCAAACTTATGGAGATACATATCATAGCATGTAAATTCTGGTATAACAAAATGTTACATTACCAATTTCTACTTCTGCATTAACTTTTTCTAGTACTTTCAAAGCAGGATTTAGGGATTATTCAGTTATTATGGATTGTGCCATTATACTGTAGTCTGAAAATCTAGTTCATAAAGCACACCAATAAATATGAAGCAGTCTGACATGAGTTTTAACACTACCCGTATTGGGCTCTGAGAAGTATACCACAGAAAACAAAGCAATTCTAAATTTGCTATAATTCATGTTAGACACATTAAATGGTGAGGGAAGAGGTGGGAAGCAGAGCTGCTACATAAACGGTACAACTGTTTGATCATTTCCTCACAACTATGGAGCAAGGAGAAATCCTATTGAACTTACCAGTGATATATCCTCATCTGGATGGATCAACTTACTGGTTGCACTGGTTGTCGTAAGGGTAGCAGGCTTACTTGTTATAGAAGTAGCTGGCTTAGCTGCAGTACTGTTTGTTGTACTAGTGGTTGAAGCTGTAGATTGTGTGTAAGCAGGGAATGTAGGTTTTGGGGGTTCGGTGGTAGTTGCAGGTGCATTATTCAAAGGTTTGAAATCTGTACCAACCGGCCCTGGAACAGCTGACTGAGCCTGTAAAAACACAAAGTTAAACTATAAGGACAATGCTATTTAAAATGCAAAAATTCTAAACACTGTAGCATTACAATCTGTTTGCACAGCTAGATTAGCATAAAGTAAAAGTTCAGCCCCAGTACATAACAAAGCAAACTGGGATGAAAAAAGCAATAGTGTCTCCCAACACACAAACACATTACAAAACTGAGATGTGGCAGATCAAAAACCACAACAAAAGCAAGACAAATTGGGTAACTATTTGTTGCTGTCCCTTTTTCATCTTTTCATACAGTATGTTCAATATAATTCAGATCTATTAAGAAATGTTATTTTTGTAATTAGGCCAATCTAGAAATTACTGGTTTAGAATAGTATTAGGCAAGTTAGCATTCAAACAGAATTAGAATATATGGGAAGATTTTTCTTCTAAGAATGCTAGTGGGTCAACCAGGTGAATTTAAAAGCATTCTCTGCATAAAAACAAAATGAAGTTCTGAGACACCTCAAATAGCAATTTATAGAGCTGAACTACTTTCCTTTCCTACAAACTATTCGCATCAAATGGGTAAAATAGAACCCTACTATGACTTTGAAGCTATTACATGTTTTTCTTACTTCGGGGGCTCTTAGTTTCACTTATGAGAGAATGCTTTGACAAGCAATAGCACAAATTCTGCACTCACCACTGAATTTCAAATTCAGGACTAGATAGGTTGGGATTTAAGACATGATGCATTTTTTGTTTGGACGTTTCCTTACTTTTATCATGATGCATAAAAAATAACAGCATAAACTAGAAAAAAACAACCATGCACCAAGTAAACCACTGCCAACTAAAACGCACTCAACTGCTTTCATGCTCTTCTTAACCCTTTAGAACCACAATGTAGAATCTTTTGTTTATTTCTATTACCGAAATATTATGCACAATTTGTAAAAAAATAAAAATACAATTTAAGATTGGGATTAACAGCTAAACATAATCAGGAATCCGCAATTATCTGAAGATGTTTAGGTAGATGTTTTAATGTTTACATAACGGTCTAAAGGGTTAACCAGCAAAGCAATTTTAAACTGCAACTTCCTGCGTACTTGTGCTGTGCTAGGAAACAGAGCTTTAGAAGGTGCTGACAGTTCTGAATTGGATGCAGTTGTACTTGAGCTTGTGACAGGTGTCCCCATCTGTAGCATAAAAGAAACGAAACAGTAAACAGTCTCCGAATATATGCGTGAAAGATAACCAATAGGAAGGATCTTGGATTGACTTTTGTAAATGAGTCTCTTCCCTGCAGAAGTTCAAAATGCAACAACGCATTATGAAGGACTCTGCAATATGCTTGGAAGTCATACAAGACTTATTCATTTACAATGAATCCAATGAAACAGGAGAGAGCATGTATCTCTCAAACAGACCATTCCACTCTGTTAAACAGCAAGTGGTTCTCAAATGTCTCTATGTATGCATTTTATTTCAATACTGCATACCTGCTTTATCTTTCAGGAGAAGGATTAACAGTTTATTTTAGCTGACTACGAAATAAACATTGTAGGGCAGAATAATCTTTTAAAAAATCATTTCAGAAGCATGCTCCTGCTCACTCACTGTGATTTCTCCTTATGATAATATGAATTTATAATTTTAAGGATGTTCCAATGGCTATAAAAGTTGTTCATGGAAACATGGCCCTGAGCACCTGGTAACAAAGATCAAAACATACTTATTCTTCTGCAAAAAAATTAAAATGGTACCTTAGCATGAAAGACAGCAGGTGCAAATAGCAAACCTGCATTCTGAGACTACATTTGTATAGTAATTCCAGCATAAGATAGGAGCAAATACCAAGCAATCTGTCTAACAACCCCAGTGATTTGAGTGCTGGTGTTCCTGCAGCGTGACTATTACAACTTACATAGGATAGGATAAACACAGTCTAAAAATCCTCCTATCAGGATGTAAAACACACTTACTTGTCCTGCACTGGGAAAAAGTGGTTTAGTAACGGGAGGCTGAGGGGTTGGTGCTGCAACAACAGGAGCGGGAGGTCTGTTAAGTACACCTTGAGCATTCACAGGCTGTGCTTGTGTCATCGGAGGCATACCGGGACGAGGACCGACAGGTGGTGGCATACCTGTAATAAAATTATCCTGATGGTAATTTTCTGAAGACTTTAGTATCAAAACATGCCCCTATTAAATTCTTTTTTAATGGTAGGACAATATTCTATTAAATAACAGAGAACAGCTAGAACTCAACAGAAGGCATAACTAACCACAATTACGAAAACTGTGATAGTAAACTAGTATTAGGAGCATAATCCAACTTTTTGGTAGCAATAGTTTTTACAAATGATCTTTATGTTGTGTGTGCATATGTACTTAAGGCCTGAGGTCAGATCAAATGCTGCTGCTCTGATCATGCAACTTCAAGAATTGGTGTATGAATGTGCTTGCTTTACTCTTCCGGCTTGTGCATTGTAGTTGGCGAGAACAAAGGCTAACCACAAATCCCAATTTGCGCAAAAAGGTGGCCAAAAGGAATTGCGGGGGGGGGGGAGCAGCAGCAAAGTGACTGTGAGATTCTCTCTAAGCGTCGGCACATTCACGTTGCTTTGTCAAGTCAGTCCTTTATGTGAAATGTTTCAGTAGCCACATGCCAATGGTGGACATGGCAAGAGGTAAAAGTGAGCTATAAATAAGACTCAAACTTTGTACAGTAGGCATCTTTCCAGCCAGGCAAAATTCAGACGGTTTTGCCGACAGTGGGAAAAAACCCAACAACCAACATATTACACTGAAGTTTAGAAAGTCTGTCCCATGCCACAATGACACACACTTGCAGCAACCTCAGATACCACCATAATGCAGTGGCACCTGCCCATCCTTGCAGAACAAATGACTCCCACCACCACCACTAGATAATGATGCTCATGGGGCTATGGCCAACCACCCTTTTAAATTACTTTCAGTGATTAATACAGAAGTGGGGAATCGCCAGCCTATGTGCCTAATTTGGCCTCTCAGGCCTCCCCTTTGGTCCCTTGATGCCATTTCAGCAAAGCCATAACAATCTGCCCTATATCTAACATCTTATAGGACGTCAGGGGTGGGGCAGGAAAAATCCAGGCTTAGCTGTGCCTGCAAAGTAAACTTTCCTATGTTATATTTGCAAAAATTAAAATTAAAAAATAATCAAAGGAAATTATTTTCTTACCACATCCCCAGAACAAGATGGCATCTTTATTCACAAATTGATTTAGAGGTGGATATAAAATTAAGTGATGCCAACAGTCACAATCAAGGTGAAAGCTGCCAAGACTTCCAAGTATGAGCCACCCGAAATTATTTGCACTAAGAACTTTTTATATCAACTCTAATTTCATTTTGTAGTGTTCCCCTGCCATGCCATACAGTTATGTTAGATGTCCAGACTGAGGGTTTTTTTTTAAAAAAAATAAATAATAATGTTCCAAAGGAGAATTATAACATAGAGCGAACTTTTTTCTGTGCCATTTTTTTCAAACCCTATAAAAAGTGCACCATTTTATGCAGAGAAGTAACAGCAACTCCAGATCAGTTCAAAAACAAAATAAAGTAACTCTCACCACAGTATGGATTCGTCATTCCTGACCTACCTGGTGGCATACCAGGCATGAGAGGGGGGATTCCTGGTCCTGGGGGCATCATGCCACCCATTGGCATCATCCTATGAAGAATGAAGAAAATGGTAAAGGCCATAAAGAATGCATATCAGAATGTTGCATCCTTCCCCAATTTTGTGTGGTCCTTACCTCTCTCTCTCTCTCTCAATAATTTTTATTAATTTTTTAAAGGACACCAAACATCGTATTTCCAAAACAGAAGCTATAAAACACCAAAACTGGAATTTCCATAGTAGTAACATACACAATGGGGACGCGGGTGGCGCTGTGGGTAAAACCTCAGCGCCTAGGACTTGCCGATCGTCAGGTTGGCGGTTCAAATCCCCGTGGTGGGGTGCGCTCCCGTTGCTCGGTCCCAGCGCCTGCCAACCTAGCAGTTCGAAAGCACCCTCGGGTGCAAGTAGATAAATAGGTACCGCTTTATAGTGGGAAGGTAAACGGCGTTTCCGTGTGCTGCGCTGGCTCGCCAGATGCAGCTTTGTCACGCTGGCCACGTGACCCAGAAGTGTCTCCGGACAGCGCTGGCCCCCGGCCTCTTGAGTGAGATGGGCGCACAACCCTAGAGTCGGACACGACTGGCCCGTATGGGCAGGGGTACCTTTACCTTTAACATACACAATAACTGATTTGGTGTTAAGCCACACTCCATATGTTTTGAACTCTTATTTCCCCATCACCTTTGATTACTGGCCAAGCTGGCTGGGGCTGATGGAAACAAAGGAAGCAGATTTATACCAGTCACTCCACTGGTCCATCTAGATCAGCGTTGCTGACAATGACTGGCAGCTGCTCTTCAGAGTTTCAGGCCAGCCCTACTTGGAAACACCAGGAACCTTTTGCAAACATGTGCTCTACCACTGAGCTATAGCCCTTCCCCAAAGGGAACTGTAGTGCAGAACATCTGCAGAGCACCACCAGACAGGGGAAGGGTTGTGGTACACAATGTTATTAAGGACATCCAAGGATTTCCACTGAGAAATGTAAGTTCCAGCTTTCATTAGCTATCCATGGCAGACGTGTCTGAATCATTCCATACCTTTCAACTTTAACTCAAAGCATGCAGAGAACCAGCTGGGATGCCATTCAACTGTTATGTCTTAAGGCCAGAAGGGGAAGCCAAGTGCACAATGATGCGGTAGCCTGAACTCACCACTCCCTCCATGCCTGGGAAAGTTGTTTAGATGGATGTGGGAAGCAGGCAGAACTCAGCAGCAGAGTGGGAGATCAGATTTCCAACTCAAAAAACCGAAAAAGCAGACAGACCCCTTTGCCAAAACCACACTGGAAAGCCATATTCAAAACCACTGGAGAGAACTAATGATACTGGGAAAACATCCAGCCACTCCAGTATGTGCCAAGTTGTTCTTAATGGCCCAAGAAAATTGGCAGCATTGTTTTGGGAACCATCTGAATCAGTAACATGTAGAACAGGGGCAGGAAACCAGGAAACCATCAAACCCATGATGCTGCCTTCTGTTCCACCTCATCCCTCAGCCCCACTGTGGTTTCATTTGTTCTGCAAAGAACTGCTGCTAGATAAGCCAGAGAAGCCTTGTGTCTTTCAGTCAGACACTAGCTGCCACACTGGAAACTGAGCTTGCCTGCACACCTTCCTGTTGTTTCTATCTCTTCCGGAGGGCGTGGTAAAGGCAGACAATGGATACATCAGCTAGGAAAAAGAGTGGAGAGGGGAAGGAGTAACTGTGTAGGGTGAGGTGGAGTAGGAGAGAATGACAAAGCAGGAAAAAGACAGTTTGGGTAAGAGATTCTGCCAGGGAGATGAAGATCAGCAAGGGAAAGGGTCTGGCACACCAGGGTCCTAGGTATGTATGCAGACGGTGTGAGACAAAGTATGAATGGGAGTGCTGAGTGTGTGGAAAGAGAATGAATGCATAATGAAGGGTATAAAGAGAGAAAAGGAATATCCCTGCCCACTGACAGAAATGTTAAGACTTGAATTTAAGAAGAGCATTGTATAATTAGTGTGCAACTTCAAAGTCCAAAAACTCAGGATAGATTTGAAAATGAAGCATGCTTGTCTAGGCATGGACTACACTATTAATCCACTGTTTTTATTTACCCAGGTGGCATTCCAGGCATCACTGGGGGCATTCCAGGCATCATTGGTGGAACACCTGCCATTAATGGTGGTATACCTGAAAGCCAGAGAATGTGTGTTGATTATTGATACTGTACACAATTTTTTTTTGATGAATACAGGATTTGTAAGAATACTGATTAGTTCACTAAAGAAATATTCTGAATGATCGTGAACCCTTTCCGTTAACATAAAAGAAGTTCAACATAGAAAATTATCCATTAATATTATCCACGGGATTTCCCCCTTCTGCCATTTGAGACACCTGCTGCTCCAAATTATGGCGCAAAGTATGTTTATGAATACAAAAGACTACTGCTAGTTCAGTCGAAGAGTACCATGTGTCACATGTTTAAAAAAGAAGAAGCCACCCTTTCCATTGTTAAAGACCATTAGAGATTGGTAGCTTCCACTTGAGAAATATGTAATTGTGACCTGTAAATTGTATTGCAAACCGCCCAGAGGGCTTGGTTAAAAGATGCCATTACACTGTCACAAATAAAGTTGCATAACCAACGTTTTCTATCTGTTTTCCTAACTCCGTCAATATACCCCAGAATTCTCTACACATTTGCTTATGTCCATGCACAGCTTTTCAAGGAAGAGCAGCCAAATTCCAAACCACAGGTTGCATATTATGGAAACCACAGTTTCAGGGATGTGAAGCTGTCTGGTAGCTAGCAAAACTGGAGCCGTTTCTAAAATTCCAATCAAATATTTTCAAGGCAATTTTAGAGATTCCCCCTCTAATAAGATTGGTTTTGCAGTTCTCAAATATTTGGAAGAACATAAACTGTATTCAGTATGGAGCAACTAATTATTGTTTATAAGTACACATTATATTTCAAATAGCACCTCACAAAATGTTTCCAACTAAATTTTTCCCATTACTGAAGCAACTTCTAAGACAATCATCACACTATTTCCATCTAGCTACCTGGAGGGATTCCTGGTGCACCTGGCACAGGAGGTAAACCCGGCTGTGCCATTGGTGGTATATATCCCTGCTGGGGTTGCACAGGCTGTGCCTGAAATGAGGTTGAAGCCGAAGATTCATCATCATCATATTCATCAGAATCATCTTGTTGTTTCTTTTTCTGGCTTTCCGCTAAAAGAGTTTTAACATTCAGATGTTAAATTATTTGCTCTTAAACACATTCCATCCCGGATCACTCTACCTGCAATTTGCTTCAAATAAAATGGAATGCTGCCTTATACTTTTTATCTCAAATATTCCTTTTCAACAGTAGAGACTAGGGTTAAACCTAAACTAACGACTCTTTCAGTAACATTTAGAGCAATTGCAAACAATATTCATTTATTTGTTTAAACTGTAATTAGAATCCATTACACAATCTAATCATTTGCTACTTGGGTCAGAAAACCTAAATTGGGGAGTATTTAGTGCAAGTGAAGGAGCAACCAGCACTAAAAATGCCAATTACTGGATGTATCGGAATCTTCTGCTAGTCTGAAAAAGTAAACAAATGTCAACGAATTACCTTGATAACCAGCCATTACAAAGATAATAAAACAGCCTGGTTTAGCTTCCACTGATATATAAATAATATTTCTTTCTTTTTTTAACATATATGTCACCTTTTAGGGTTAAGCCTTTCAAGGCAGCTTCCCCTGCTCTATCTTCAGAATATATAACCAATAACTGTGCTGAATGATGTGATTAGTGATATTGCTGGTTCTTGGTATTTTATTAATTGGTTATAAGAATCATAGTATTAATAATAGCTAATGCAGAATAAGATCACACAGCAACACAGTAAAATTATTTCCTCTCTTTTTTCAACAAGAAAGCAATTTTAAACAAATAGGAGTCCACCTGGAAGCCAGAAACCAAAGGGCACAATATATTTCAGTTGGACCAGAATTCCACTGGCATTGAGCTACCGATCCCACCAACTTTGTAAAAGGTGGACACATAAGGTGATTATAATAGGGCTGTTCAAAAAGTAAAATTCCTGACACTCACAAAGTTGTTGAGCTTTTCTTAAATTGTTCAGCTTTTTTGGGAACAAACCTCCCCCAAAATGGTGATTTTAAGCTTTTGGAGCTGTTTCCGCTACTTTCCCCATCACATTGCCATACACCTGGATTTCCCCTCACATTTTGAAGATTTGGGAAAATCTCCACAAAGCCATTTTTACCTAAAGACCACAACGTGTCCGGAATTTTCCTGATGTATGGCAAGCCTATGCTTACAACCATTATTAGGTGTATTGATTTACTCCAAAAACAAACAAAATCATTTCAGACCCAATACTGAGTCCCACATTTTATCTTCAAGCATTAAGTTGCAATCCATAAAAAAGCAGGTTGACAAGTGTGCAACTATGCACCTTAGTGTCACAACAATTTAAAAGACCCATAAAATAATACCTATATGTCTAGATTTACATCTCTGTTGCTCACAGTAATCTCACAGTTATCACTCACTGGTGATATTCATCAGAACATGATAATTAGATACTGAGCCCTTTCCATACTGAAGTATTTCAATTTACCTTGAGTTTTTTGTTCAAGTAGCCTTCTTCTTTCATCCATGTCTTTTTCTGGAATGCCTTCCATACCATAGATTTCCAGTTCAATGTCAGTTCTTCCAGGTATAGCATTTGGAACAGCATCTATTGTTTCTTTATGTACCTATGAAAAGTAGGCAAATATAAGTTCAAACCATGGTAAGTTACTAATATGGTGGTTGATGTTTTAAAAAAATTAGATAAATTGGTTCTGTAGCACTTATAGCATCTTAGATTGAAGGACCACAGTCCAGTGGTAAAACATATGTTTTGCATGCAGAACGTATCAGATTGAATTCCTGACACTTCTAGTTAAAAGGAAAGGTAGCAGGGATGGCAAAAGTCTCTGAAATGCTGCCAGTCAAAATAGATCACTTAGCTAAATGGACAAATAATCTGAACTGAGGCAGTTTACTATATTCTAGTTAGCTCAAGTGCAGTCAAAACTAGTCTAAATCAAATAGCAGGGCTAGATCTAATTAGGTCTAAACAGGGACTAACATTTTTGGGGCTGCATTTATACTGACCATCCTCCAAGGGTCACATGCTGGCAGTGGGTGTGGTCAACACACATACACACTCTGCATACAGGTAGAAAGACAGACAGACAGACAGACACACACACACACACACACTCTCTCTCTCTCTCAACAGAGGGGATAAACAAAAAGGCTGTTCTATGGGAATCTCTCCACATGAAGCATGCTCAGATTTGCAATCCTATGCTAGTATTTACTCCCAGACAAGCATGCAAAGGACTATAATAGTAGTTAGAAATGTAGCTTTAAATTCTTAAAGAATTAGAACTAGACCAGACTCCAACCAACTACCAAATAATAAAGTCATGATAGTATCCACTATCCTGGGGAAATCAGGCCCAAAGGCCTACCGTGACCAACCAAAGAAGAGCTTTCATTAATGCAGCTGGTTCTGAAATCTAGAATACTCATAAATTATGGAAGATGATTACAAAACAACAGCACATTGCTTTTCAGCAGACCACCATGTGAAAAAAAAGGATAAACCTGAGCACTTACCTGCATACAGTGTATAGCTAAGCCAGGTCCAGTATACAGTTTCTTATGACATATATGGCATTTAAAATGTTTTGCTTTTTGGTGCTGAATAAGAATTTTCTCATCATCAAAATCCCTATTACAGTACCTATGCCACATTGTTAAGGAAAGCATGGAAGTAAAAAGGTTACAATAATTATTCTCAAGGAATGCTACAGATCTTTAAAATGTATTAATTACTTTGATTTCTTTGGTAAGTGGATATACAATGAGGGTGGGCAGGAGGCACATTGGGACCTACCGATGGAACCTACTATAAATCATCCAGTGATCTAAGAGTTTGTTTTAACACTAAAAAAATGATCTTTCTTTCTCCTTTTAAATTGGCTATCAGAATTTGCAGTGATCTGTAGTAACTGAGACGGCAATTTGTAGCTTATCTTAATATAGGGCTAATGAAATGTTGTGGGTCTATGTCTCTTGGACCACTATTTTGCATCTGATTCCACCCATCTCCTGTAACTATTTTGCATCTTGGGGTTGTAGCGAAATACCAAAGTAGATCCCGCAAGCATTAAATCTGTCTATGCCTACTATACAACATGGTAAGGTTGTAAAAATATGTCTTTAAGAGGAAGGGATGTTGCACAGCAAAGACTTCAAAATGGATGCCTGGGTATACAGATTCACATAAATGATAATTAATGATATGGAAATCACAACATAGTGAATCTGAGGATTAAGCTCAGGGACCCACAATCTCTGCTATGGCTCAGCTGCCAATCATTAAATAAAGTGCACCCTACCCTAGCTCTGCCACATTTCAGGTCATGTTGTTGGCCTTCTAGGCAGGCAGAAGAGTGAGCCTTTTTGCAAATGTCTGTTACAGAAAAAACACCCTTTCTCTTATTTGCAACAAGAAGCAATTCTGTTACAAAGTGATTTGAACGATTTGCCACAAAGCTTAATGTAACAAAGAGAACTGATCAAATCTCTCTTCTGGAGAGGTCTTGTTTTGCAGAGCTTTTGAGGCACCATCAAAATCAGGGGAGGGGTTCTATATGCTTGGCATCATGCCTCACCAGGGAGACAGTGGCAACTGGCTCTGGTAGATACAAAAGAGATACAGTTAAAATTCAAAAAGGGTGCTTCTCATCACATTCTGAGCCTAGAAATTTGTTTTAAATACTAGAAGTGAACAGAGCTCACAATTCTTGCACTGAAACACCCATTTCTGATCAATGTTTACATTTCAGCAGCCTAAACAGGCAGGGAAGGAGTTTTGTTCTTCCTGCGAAATTGGGAATGAAACCCATGCCACTCTACTGCAAATCACTCAAGACATCATTCTTTCTGCCCACTCTTGCTGCAGATGGCAACTGCCTCCTAACCAGTATTCGAAACTCCCATTGTTCTAGGCGCACTTTGCGACAGGGAATTTCATTAGTGTGAGTAGTTTCTGAGCTCTGGGCGCAGTACTGCACCTAAGATTTCAGATTAAAACTGCAGAGGTGAAGGAAAGGAGGACCTTTTTCTGCCTCCCCACTTCCAGCTACTCTCTGAAGACTGGATAAGAGACCCTCTTAAGAATATTAGGGGGGTGGGCAGGGGAAGGACTAGACCATGTGAAAAATGAACATGAATTTTAGCTGCAGTTCATTCATTTTCAACTTTGTATTCTTGTTATAAAAAAGCACACGTAGACATTCTGTTGTTGCACCTATAACCTAGGTCTAAGGTGCCATTTAGCTCCTAGCTTTCATATCTCTGTTTCTAACACTGGACCTAACACAAAATAGGGCTACAGTTAGCCTTCCAAGCTGCAAGCTCTAATTATGTCTTTGCGAGTCTCTTTCTTGGAGACCAGAAAGAGTCCCTACTCACAAAAGTATGAAATATACTAATTAATAACAAGGGATTTGAGTGCTGAAGGTAGAGCTATGGCACAAGAATGTCACAATATACATTATATATAATCAGTTAATTTGAGCCCATAGAATAGTTTTAGAGGGCAAATATCAAGTTTAATTTGACTTGCTATTCTGGATCAAGGGATGCACACACTAATCTTTCCTTATTTTCCCCAAACACACCTTATTCTAACTGAACAGATCTTGTATTTTATTATGCATTCCTGTTCAAACTCTCATACTGAGATTAGTATATTGGTTATACTTCAACAGTTTTTAGATATGATTTAAAATGTGGGGGGTTGTACCATGAGCAGTGTTGAACACAAGTGTTTATAGGAAAGTCTGTATAAATAAAAATATAATTAATATTTAATAAGGGACCGAAATCATGTGGTCCCTAGGCTACAGGATATCGCAGATCTTCCTCTCAGCAGAGAGAGAGGACCATTGTCAGAGAACCTCTAGAATAATAGTAGATCTGTTCACCACTGGTGTCCCAAAAGCAGTAGGGAGTGAACCAGGGGAGGGCCTGGAACTGTAAGATGCCCAGATACAACACAAGGGCTCCAAACTAAAGCTTCTGGTTCCCTTGCTTCTGTTTATGGCTGTGTACACATCATTCATTTAAAACATATTTACCCGCCAAAGAATTCTAGCAATTGTAGTTAACAAACTACAATTCCCATTATTCATTTTTGGTGTGTGTGGGTTAACGTGTGGTGTTTACATAGTCTTTGTCAATACAAGCCAGCAGAGCTTATGAAGGGATGCTTCCTCTACCAAGGACTCCCCCTGCCCCTTGCGGGGACTGCTTGGTCAGTCTCAAAGAGCCAGTGGGGTGAAGTGATTAGAGGGTCAGAAGCCCCTACTTAGTCATGGGTGCCCTTGGGCCAGTCACCATCTCTTAGCCTAACCTACCTTACAGGGTCATGAAAATAAAAATGGGGAAATCACATACATCATATTGAGCAGATATAAGTGTCGATTAATATTCTACAAGAGTTAAAGTAACCTACATTTCCTATAAATCACTTCCCTTTCATTTCTAATGTGGTACTTCAAAACAATTTCACAAATGGCTTTATACAAGCAAAAAGGCTAATTTACTTAAAAACAACAGTACTATTATATACCCCCAACATATCCTTTTTCTTCCTAAGACACCACCATTATTTATTGAGGAAAAGGCACAAAACTGCCAGATCTACCTAAAATATATCTCCCCCTTTCTACCTAGCAACCTACACTTCAACAAGATGTGTTTCAGAAAAACAAGACTCAGACAACCCCAAATTTTCTCCTATATCTCATGCATCCTCAAACATCTTTCCAGGAGAAACATTATTCATGGCGTGGTCAAAACATAATGACTACTCAAAGCAAAACATATCACAAACACCTAAATTGGGGGGGGGGGGGGAGAGAAATGTGTGGAGAAGGCAAAGCCCAAGAGAATGGATTGTCCCCATTATGAATACATGAAAAGCCGATGTGGAGGATAGAAGTAAGGCAACAGACCAACACTTATGTGGAACACACCCTTCTTCGAAAATAGCCTCTGAAATTGATAAGAACCGAAATCAACTGGTAAAATTTGGGTCGTCTGCTAAAACACCGAGGAATATATGAGAGAAGCCGGTGGCTCATGGAGCACAAAAAATAAAACCTCAACCACTCAACCTGCCCTGCTTTTGTGTCTTTAAAGGCAGAAATAATCAAGTTGAAGCTTTTCAGGCCGATGAACGTGGCCAACCCGGTATGTCTACGCTGAGGGAAGTTTTCGTTAACGGGGCAGAGCTGCAGCGGCCGACTGAAACGTTGGCAACCAGAGGCGCGCGAGAGGGCAGGAGAAGAAAACAAATCCAATCCGTTCCCTATGGAAATTCTGTGTTGGTTCGAGAGCTATTTGAATTAGGCCCAGGTGGATATTGGGAGCGGGGGCAGGTGGAGTCAGGAAAGGAGGCTGGCTTCGAAGCCCAGTGGAAGTAGGCGCCGGGGGTCCCTTCCATCTCCTGAGGGAAGGGAAAAAGCCAAGCTAGGCCGCCCGACCTCTTCCTCTCCAAGCTCGAGAAGCCTCCCGGCCACCCGCCCGCCAAGAGGAAAAAAGGATACCAGCACCAAGGCTTCAACTGCTTCTTCTTCTTCCGTCCCATGACGACGGCGGCGGCGGCCTAACTAAGGAAAAACAACAACTATTAAAACGACGAGAAGCTCGACCTCCGGGTCCTCCCGCGCACTCTTCTCCTCAGCGAGACACAAAATGGCCGCCCTCCGGCCGAACCCTCGGATTCCCAGAATGCAGTGCGCGGGCTCGTGTCCTCCTCCTTCGCCTATTGAGGGGAGGTGGGCGGGGCGAGGAATGTCACGTATTGTGCGGTCAAATCGCGGCGCGCTCTTTTCTCCCCCCCCCTCCGGAATGACGTAGGGGCAGCCGGCAGCGCGCGCGCCCCGAGTAGAGCCGCGCATGCGCGAATAGCTGGTTTGCAGCCCCGCTGGCTGCGCAGAAATGCGAACGTTCCATCCCGCCGTCCAAAAGCGCCTCGGCGGGCCAGCCATCGAATCATAGAATTGTGGGGAGTTGGAAGCGAACCCGAGGGTCATCTAGTCCAACCCCCCTTGAGATGCAGGGATCTTTAACTACAGCATCCATAATAATAACAATAACAACAATAATAATAATTTATTTTTTAAACTTCGCCCATCTGGCTGGGATTCCCCAGCCACTCTGGGCGGCTTCCAACAAAATATTAAAATACAGTAATGCATCAAACATTAAAAGCTTCCCTAAACAGGGCTGCCTTCAGATGTCTTCTAAAAGTCTGGTAGGAATTGTTCTCTTTGACATCTGCTGGGAAGGTGTTCCACAAGGCAGGTGCCACTACCGAGAAGGCCCTCTGCCTGTAACCTGGATTCTCGCAGTGCGGGAACCACCAGAAGGCCCTCAGCGCTGGACCTCAGCGTCTGAGCAGAACAATGGGGGTGGAGATCATAGCTGTCAACCTTCCCTTTTTTTGTGGAAAATTCCCTTATTCCAGCTCCGTTTTCCGCTGCTTCCCGCTGCTATCCTGGATTGTTAGATATCCCATAGACTGTCCCCGGGACAGGTGACGCTGCTGATCCCTTATTTTCAAATTTGAAAATTGATAGCTATGGTGGAGACGCTCCTTCAGGTATACTGGGCCGAGGCCGTTTAGGGCTTTAAAGGTCAGCACCAACACTTTGAATTGTGCTCGGAAACGTACTGGGAGCCAATGTAGGCCTTTCAAGACCGGTTTTGTGGCAGATGGCCCTTCAGCTTCTGCTTTGAAATCTCCCAAGGAAAGAGTCCACTGCTTCTCATGGGAGTCTGTTCCACTGCCGAACAAGCTCTTGCTGTCAGAAAGTTTTTCCTAATGTTTAGACGGAATCAAATCTCTACTCAGCCAGGAAGTTCTGCCCTCCTGAGTCGAGGTCCTGCAAACAGGTATGCGGAGGATCATCATCTCAGGCTTTCGACTTCAGTCCAATGCGTGTTTACCGGGGGGTAAGGCACAGTGGGAAATTCCTGCGCTGCAGAATCATTTTCCAGGTTCAGCCTCCTCATTTCAGAGCAAGACTTGTTGAACTCAGCTTGAACTTAACTTGCGAGTAGACATGCACAGCATCATACCATAAATTGCAAAATGAAATGAAATCTATGAGTGACCTGTTTATTACTTGTGTTGTTATCACTTGATGTTAAATACTGGGATTTAAAGAGGCTTTCAGAAACGCCAAAACATATTTTTAAAAGTGCATACCCTCCGATGAAAAGAGGGACATCCCTTTCCATAATGATAATTTTATTGTTTATACCCCATACATCTTACTGAGTTGCCCTAGCCTAGCCACTCTGGGGAGCTTCCAACATACGCACTGTATATAAAAACATAATAAAGCATTTTTACAAAACCTTCCCTATACAGTGGTACCTCAGGTTAAGTACTTAATTCGTTCCGGAGATCTGTTCTTAACCTGAAACTGTTCTTAACCTGAAGCACCACTTTAGCTAATGGGGCCTCCTGCTGCCGCTGCACTGCCGCTGCACGATTTCTGTTCTCATCCTGAAGCAAAGTTCTTAACCCGAGGTACTATTTCTGGGTTAGCGAAGTCTGTAACCTGAAGCGTATATAACCTGAAGCATATATAACCCGAGGTACCACTGTACAGGATTGCCTTCAGACGGCTCGGGGGTTGGATAACTCCATATCCTCCGACATTTCTCTAATGAAAATAGGGACATCCTAAGGAAAAGTGGGACATTCCGGGATCGAATCAGAAACCAGGATGGCTTCTCTAAATCAGGGACATCCCTGGAAAATAGGGACACTTGGAGGGTCTGAAACAGGGGTCAGCAAACTTTTTCAGCAGGGGGCTGGTCCACTGTCCCTCAGAACTTGTGGGGGGGCAGAATATATTTTTTGGGGAAAATAATGAACGGATTCCTATGCCCCCACAAATAACCCAGAGATGCACATTCTACTCATGTAAAAACACCAGGCGGGCCCCACAAATAACTCAGAGATGCATTTTAAATAAAAGGACACATTAGACTCATTGAAAAAAACACTGATTTCCGGACCGTCCGCGGGCTGGATTTAAAGGCGATTGGGCCGGATCCGGCCCCCGGGCCTTAGTTTGCCTACCCGTGGCCTGAAAGTTTCATGGGGGGGGGGGATGCTCTCTATCAATGCGGTGGGCGATAACATTACAGGGGCAGGAACCTTGGAAGCGAGCTGCGCGCACGACGGAGCAGAATAAGGCGCTGCACTGTACGGCAACAGGGGGAGCGGATTTCCATTACACGCAAAGCCCGGGGAAGAAAGAGGGGGAAAGGAGCCAGCAAGATGTTGCCTTCCCTCCAGGAGTCCGTAGACGGGGACGACAGAGAGCTGGAGAGCAGCGAGGAAGGGAGCGGCCTGCCGGAGGATCGGAAATCGGAGCGTAGCAGCAACAGCTACTATTGCCTGTACGGCTACCAAGGCTGCAGGTGAGGCGGGGTGGGGAGGGAAGCTGGTGGGCTTCGTCGCGGCGTCCCCCCACCCCCCGGTTCTGCAGCATGCATTCAAATAGAATTGCAAAGCAGGAAGGGACCCTGAGGAATCATCTATGTCCCATGCGGGGATCGAACCTGCAACCTTGGCTGCACGCTCCAGCCAACACCCTTCCCTTCTCGTCCTTTGTGGCCCCTTATTTCAGCGTGGCGTTTGGGAGGCGTGCGCCAGCGGCTGCCTTCAATGAATTGGGCTGATCTTTTTTTTCCTCTTTAAAAGCTATCGCCCTTCCCCACATCCTGTGGTACTGAACTCCATTCATCGAATGGCTTCCGCTCCACAAATGCGTCTTAATGCTTTCCCATAAAGCCGGCTAAACTAGCAGCCTCCGTTGGGGAGTGGGGTGTGAAGTAAGCTCCTACTCTGCATAATAAATCGCATGGCACACAGTTTGAATGGCAATGCCCATCAACATTGCCCCATCTCGAACATGACGCCCCCCCCATGATGTGATCAATTGTGCAGGGCTTACTTGACACCCACACCCACAGATCAATATTTTATTCAAGTTGGCACCCCTCTTTCCTGTTAACCTGCTTCCAGATCATTTTGTACCTGGATATGCCAGGATATACCTGTGACCTTTTCCATGCAAAGCATGTTCCCTTCCCAACACTCACTAATACATAAAGCCACCCCTCCAATTCCAATTCCAAATATGAACTGAAACAGTGGGGGAAAGAGGGAGGTCTCACTGTTGTGCCGGGTTGCGACAGCAAACCTTCTCAAAGCAAACAGCTATCCTGGATCTGTTCCTGCTTGTTCTGATGACCACCCAGAATGATGTGCAAAATGGAACATGTCTTGAGTCAGAGACCTTCCCCATTGTTGTTTTCTGGGGGGGCCCCCTCTTCTTCTTGCAATGTCTTTGTGGTTTGTGGTTATATGATTTGTGTGTTTTTGTAGGTGTGTTCATAACTGATTAAATTCCCCTCCCGCCAGGTTGCACCAGGGTGTAGACAGCGATGATGGGAGCCCAAACAGCACAACAGCTGAAACTCCGTCTTCTGATGATTTCAGGTAAACCAACATGGCAAACCCATTGAAATTTTCTGAATCCTTCTCTGCTAATTAGAATAGAATAATTTGCATAGCTGTGGCGTGGAGGGATCCTAAAAACTGAAGCGAACTCTTCTGAGCACAATGAACTTTCTGTAGTGGGACATTTCCGTAGTATGATGAGTTGGCAATGAAAAGAAGAATTCTTCATTTGGTGGCATGCTTAGGCTAAGAGTAGCCTAGAACAATCTTGCCCCCACCTAGTGCTGTCCAAATGTTTTGGTCCACAGGGGTTCCTCCAACCTTTTTGGGCCCTGGGGACATGTTTGGAAATCTAAGAAACAGTCATGGGGACCATAAAATATCCATTTAACAAAAGGGAAAAAAACTGGTGATGCTCAGAACACTGTCCCCCCCACAAACCAAGCAAAACACTTCCACCCCTCAAAGCAAATAAAAAGCAGATCAAAAAAGCAGGCCACTCGCCCAGATAGTCAACCCACTTCCAACCAAACAGCAAGGGGGGAAAAAGCAAACAGACAATAAAAGGTAAAGGGACCCCTGACCATTAGGGACGTAGGTGGCGCTGTGGGTTAAACCACAGAGCCTAGGCCTTGCCGATCAGAAGGTCAGTGGTTTGAAACCCCGCGACAGGGTGAGCTCCCATTGCTCGGTCCCTGCTCCTGCCAACCTAGCAGTTCAAAAGCATGTCAAAGTGCAAGTAGATAAATAGGTGGGATTTATCCGGAGGGAAGGTAAACGGCGTTTCCGTGTGTTGCTCTGGTTCGCCAGAAGCGGCTTAGTCATGCTGGCCACATGACCCGGAAGCTGTACGCCGGCTCCCTCGGCCAGTAAAGTGAGATGAGCATCGCAACCCCAGAGTCAGTCACGACTGGACTTCATGGTCAGGGGTCCCTTTACCTTAGCAGGCTTCTTCATCAGAGCCTGGCTCTGCAACCAGAAGGAGCATATACTCCTCCGGTCTTTGGTACTGACTAAGGCTATGATCCTAGCCATTCCTACCTAGAATAACTCATACGGAATTCAGTGGGTCTCACTCCCAAGTAAGTAGGGTTAGAATTGCAGGCTAAGTGGCTAGTCGAAAACTCTCTTAGTCAACAGTGTACTTTGTTTTCATTTATGTAGTCTCTCCTTGGTGGACACTAACTTACCGGCCGAAGCAGAGATGGAGCTGCGTAGCTTCGTTGCCAAACACCTTGCCAAGGGAGCCTTTTTTGAAGGATGGGCAATGTTGCATCTGTGGAGTTGAGGTAAGAATCCACATGATTCTCTCCGCACCCTGGTGCCAAATTTTTGCAGGAACCACGTGTTATGATTGTGACTTCTGCACAGGCTTCCTTTTCCTCCTCTCACCCCCACCTTTCCCCAGCTCTACTGCAGTTTGCCAGGTGAGCATCCATGGCATGTGAAGAGATTTTGGCTTTCTAAGGAATAAAATGGAAAACAGAGTACATGTGGGGACGGAGCCTCCAGTGGGAGTTCGCACATTGTCTGTAACACGTAGCAATGGGAAATGAATGACTATTTTCTTAATAATAAGCAGTTATCATGTGTCAGATCATACATAACAAAGCTAGCATGGAAACTTAGTTTTAGTCTGAAGGCAACTGCTGGGAAATATCATTCCTTTCTTCTTGTGTCTCTGAAATTTTTGAAGACGGCACAAAGTTACACAATCTTTCGCTTTCAAATTAAAATTGTGATATTAGGGGCAGCTCTGCTTACACTGCCATGGTTATATTTTCTTGCCAGTATAGTGTGCCAAGAGTAGCAGGCATAGGAATCCATAATGCATACAAGCCATGACTCATATTTTAAACTACCTGGGGTGTCAATGTGTTTTAGAGTTTAGGATAGCTAAAGTTATAATGGTTCTGGTGATTAAAAGCAAACTGAAATACATAATCTTCACTAAAATCTTGATTAGAGTAGTACATTTTATAAGTGTGGCAGCAATCCAATCCTGATTTACTTGGGAATAAGCCTGTTGAGCTTAGGGAGACTTATGAGTAAACGAGGGCTGATTAATGAAGTCTTAGTTGATTAATCAAATGGATTTTAATCAATGGACAGTGCAATTGTATCAACTCAGAAACAAGTCCCATTGAGTTTGGTGGGGCCTACTCCCAGGTAAACAGTGCCTGCCATTGACAATTTTTAGAAGTACTTGTTCAAAACAAAAAAATATTCCTTCCAGTAGCACCTTAAAGACCAACTAAGTTAGTTCTTGGTATGAGCTTTCGTGTGCATGCACACTTCTTCAGATACAGAAGTGTGCATGCACACGAAAGCTCATACCAAGAACTAACTTAGTTGGTCTTTAAGGTGCTACTGGAAGGAATATTTTTTTGTTTTGACTATGGCAGACCAACACGGCTACCTATCTGTAACTTGTTCAAAACAGTGGGGGGGGGGGGGAGAAGTCCCTCCTTTCTGTCTGAATTGCCAACAAGCCCAGCCCCCCACCCATCTTTCCCATGCTCCCAGAAATGCCTGGATTAGAGGCAAGTAAGCAACAGGAAGATAATTGCATCTGTCATTCACACAAACCTGTTCTGGTCTCTTTTCCTCCCATTTCTACAGCTCAAAGCCTAAATTGTCCTTTTGTCTCCGGCTCCCTTTAATCTCCAAAAGCTGTTTTCAAAATGCATGCCAAAAAGAAAAGAGAGGGTTATTATCAATGGGGTAGCGAAGGTTAGGATAGGGACTTACAGGAGCTGAATGCAAGGAAGAATGGATAAGCCTTTAGCCTGGGAGCCATGAACAGCTGGCTCTTAAGCAGTTGGGTAAGATCTCTTAAATTGCTTCTGTGCTTTTCCCCTACGTTTCTATTGCTTTTGTGTTTTATTTTGTAAACCTTCCCTGCGATTTTCAGATAAAGGGTGGTATGTAAATTTAATAAATAGTAATAATTCTAAAACATTGCTTTGTTTTAAAAATGCCCAACTTGGCTGTATCGTAACTCCATTAAGACATCACCTACAATTTGTTTGCTCTTGAATGCAAGGTTAAGGGAAGGGTGATTTTTGAACTCTTGGGGCAAATTCTTGAGGTACAGCGAAGAAGTTAATGGAGGCATAAAGCAAGCTGTATTGACACTAGATTGAAGTGGCTGGGTAGAATCCAGGCTCTCAATCAACTGCTAGGTTTATAATGTGATCGGCGAGTGGACAGATTATGGTGAGAGATAAAAGAATAAATATCACTCTGTGATTAATTAAGAATTTCTCTTTTCAGTATTCCAGAAAGCCGAGTTGGTTGCTATTACTGCCTCTTCCAACCAGAAAAATGTACAGAAATGGCAAACGCAGAATTGAGCAGCTGTGCTCTAGACTACGTGATCTGTTTTTTGGGAGGCTCAGAGAAGGGACTTGAACTATATCCTTTTATCTTTGTGGATGTGTGTGTGTGTGTGTGTGTGTGTAAGAGGAGACTATGAGCGGAAAAGTCATTTTTTTAAAGTGGGTAATACTGTGGTTGCTTCATTGAATTCAGCCAAAGATGACAGCATGCAGACCACAGCATATGTATGCCCTGATCATTCTTTTGTGGTTTTGGCTATAAACATCTGAGAATACTGGTTTTGTTTTGTTTTCCTTTTTTTTTTTAAAGTAGGCCCCATTTTTCCAGGGTTGTATTTGGAAAACAGAAGGCAAAAGCTTTTCAAAAACCAGGCTGAAAGAATTCCCCCACCCTCCAAAGGCTGACCAATATATGTTCACATTTGAAAGTAATGACTTCTTAGTGCAGAAAGAACGTAACAGATGTGCAATGGATCCACAAACTCTATTTCAATCTTTTCCTGAAACGATGTGCAAATTTCATCATCCCCATGTACCTAAATCTATGTAGTCTGGTTTATCATACTTCTGATGGCGCACATCTGAAGGTGTCGTCTGCTCCTTGAATTCAACAATTCCTTGAATTAGATGCATTTGGAGGGCCTTTTTGTCTTCCCACAATAGTTAGAAGTCAAGGGCTGCAGAGCCTGGACCTTAACGTCAGAAACACTTCAGATGCTTTAACAAACACATTGTTTCCTTAAGAGTTTACATTCAGACTTGAGCTTGACAGATATGTTCAGGACCTGAAAATTAACCTGGATTTAGAGGTAAGTGTTGATCGCTGTTGGTTTATGCGGCTCTCTGTTCAGGGAACACTCCAATTTTGACTTCAGAGTTAACTACAAAAAAACCTACCAACCTTCATTGGAATATACTGCCTGGGATTTAAATGGCTGCGCAATGGCTTCTAGGTTCTTGTGCTGGGCTTGCGTTTCTCAAATGCAGCTCCCCAGGGCTTCAGGGTGAAGCCACTTCTGCATCTTGGGGGAGTTTCAAGAGCAGTTTGTGATGCTGTGTTGAGGTTCTGATACTTTAAAGGCAGGAGAGTGACTAAGTCCGTAAAGGTAAAGGACCCCTGACAGTTAAGTCCAGTCGCAAACGACTCTGGGGTTGCAGCGCTCATCTTGCTTTACAGGCCGAGAGAGCCAGTGTTTGTCCGCAGACAGCTTCCCATTCATATGGCCAGCATGACTGAGCTGCTTCTGGCAAACCAGAGCAGCGCACGGAAACACCGTTTACCTTCCCGCCACAGTGGTGCCTATTTATCTACTTGCACCGGTGTGCTTTCGAACTGCTAGGTTGGCAGGAGCTGGGACCAAGCAACGGGAGCTCACTCCATCACGCGGATTCGAACCGCCGAGCTTCCGATCAGCAAGCCCTAGGCTCAGTGGTTTAGACCACAGCGCCACCCTACATGTGCCTAAAGTAGCTCTTTGGATTTCCACCATTATGTTGCTTCTGCTGAGCTGTTTGATTCAAGATGACAGCTGTTGTCGGCCTTGCATGATTTGGAATTAAGAATGAATGTTAGCTGCAAGCTCCGTGAGTAGAGATTGTCAGGAGTCGTTCAGCTGAACTAAACTTCACGATTCCATGTAGAAGTTTCACTCTTTTCAATTTGTTGCAGCAAGATAATCTGGAGACTTGTGTTAAGCCTCTCTTGGCAACTTGGTTTGAGGATTCAATCTGTCCTATTCAGAGAGTGGTGAAGCTTTTCCAGGAGAAACTTTCCTTTGTGTTACATGCCGTGAGTACAGTTTCACACATCCCAGAACGACTTTTCTGTTCAACTCATTGCTTTTTGACAGTTTGCAGTTGCAGTTCTGTTTGCACATGGGAATATAACTCTGTCAAAGAGAAAAGTCCATTAATAGTGGTTTAGTTTATTGCTGAATTAGCCATGGTGCCCAAAGTAGTAGTAGTAGTAGTAGTAATTATTATTATTATTATTATTATTATTATTATTATTATTTATTTTTATTTTTTATACCCCGCCCTTCTGGCTGGGTTTCCCCAGTCCACTCTGGGCGGCTCCCAACACATAATAATAATAATAATAATAATAATAATAATAATAATAATAATGCAATCAAACATTAAAAACTTCCCTAAACAGGGTTGCCTTCAGATGTCTTCTAAAAGTCAGATAGTTTGTTATTTCCTTGACATCTGATGGGAGGGCATTCCATAGGAAGGGTGCCACTACCTAGAAGGCCCTCTGCCTGGTTCCCTGCAACCTCACTTCTTGCAGAGAGGGAACAGCCAGAAGGCCCTCAGAGCTGGACCTCAGTGTCTGGGCTGAATGATGGGGGTGGAGATGCTCCTTCAGGTATACTAGGCTGAGGCCGTTTAGGGCTTTAAAGGTCACCACCAACACTGAATTGTGATTGGAAATGTACTAGGAGCCAATGTAGGTCTTTCAGGACCAGTGTTATATGGTCTCGGTGGCCACTCCCAGTCACCAGTAAGTAAACCTCAGTCTAAGCAGAGGACGGACCAGGTGTTTGGACCATTGATCAGGAATGTAGGTTTAAAAACATGTCGGCATTTCTTTTGTTCAGTAATGCAAGGTGAGATTAAACTTCCCACTTTAAAATATTAAATCTTGCTTGATGACTCATACAACTCTTACTTCTTCTGCTGCAAATGAGGTTTACTTTTACGTGCTTAACAAAGACACACAGCCAAAGACAAATCCATTGATTTTTAGAGAGAGGAAACATCCATTTGTCCTTATAGAGCAAGAGAAACAGCTTCTCTACAGATGAGAGAGAGTCTGGTAGGCAGAGTATTGAGTTTGGACCCGGATGATGTGAGATTGAAATCCTGTTTCGCCAGGAAGCTCCCTAGCTTAATGGTCACCATATATCAAATAAGCCATGTTGTAAAGATAAAATAAGTGGAGCGGGGGATATTTACTTTGAAGAGAAATTGTGTCGGTTATCATCATATACATGACTGTGCAGAAGTAAATCTCACTAAATACAGTGGGACTTAATCCCAAGTAAGTGGGTGCAGGACTGCCGCCTAAGTCTACATCAGCTGTGACTTGCTGGAAGTTGTTGGGCTTTAGCATCCCTGACCACTGACCATGCTGGCCGTGGCTGATGGATGAAGGAGTCCAGCGATATTTGAAGAGCCGCAGGTTAGCCACTCCAGTCTACCTCATTATACAGAACACTGACATTATAACTTTCCCATTTCAAGGCTCTGAGTTGCACTCCAGTTGAAGTTAAAGCGCCCGATGAAAGGACAAAGAAGGATATTAACAGGTAAGAGAAAACCACCCGTTAAGATTGCCTTTCCCATAGGTAGCTTGGCTTGTTACACGGCAGCTGCCTTGCCCTCTCCCTGCCTTGAGCTTAGTGATGAACATGTTTTTTCAAAAACGCATTCTTTCTCAGGTTCCTTAGAGCTGCAAGCCTTCAAGATCTTGTCCGGGAAGCCACAATGACTTCCTTGTGTGTGGCAATGACCGAGGAACGACGCACGCCGGTGGTGATTGACTGCAGTGAGCCACAGCCTCAGTTCCACAATGCAGGTGAGATTTGCAGGCAAGAGAGGTTTCAGGCATATTATAGGTGGTGTCAGTCTTCAGAGTGGCCAGCAATGGGAAATGCTTGGAGTGTTCAATGTTGCTTATTGCTCTATCACTTACTGCAATATTGCTCTGAAATGACACTTGTTTATTTTGGGATGATCTCTCCGTGCCACAAGGGTGATCCGGACACACAATCTGGGGTGTGGAGTTAATCTACCGGTTTTGTCCTCCAGTTATCCTCCGCTTTAGATCACATTGCAAAGCTCGGGTTGTCCAATGGTCTTCTTGTCACGAGTTCTCATTATGGACCAAGGCTACGGTTGTGATTAAATTGTCCCATGTACAGTTTATTTCTAATTCTAATTGTTGCTTTTTAAGAAGCACTGGCAAATTGTCAGGCTGCTGGACTGCAGTTCAGGTTTTTTTTGTTTTGTTTAACCCAAAATAAATTTAGAATAGTGAAAGATCATCGTGTATTTATCTTATTTTTAAAAATGATCTTCATGGTGCACTTTTGACTTGGAGCTATGCTACGTAGCCACAACACAGAATAGGGTTTCCAAACGTCCAGAATTTCCAGGACATATCCTGAATACAGTGGCACCTCAGGTTACAAATGCTCCAGGTTACAAACTCCGCTAACCTGGAAGAGTTACCTCGAGTTGAGAACTTTGCCCCAGGATGAGAATGGAAATCGTGTGCCGGCGGTGCAGCGGCAGCAAGAGGCCCTATTAGCGAAAGCACGCCTCTAGTTAAGAACAGTTTCAAGTTAAAAACGGACCTCCGGAACGAATTAAGTTCGTAACTAGAGGTACCACTGTACAGTGGTACCTCGGGTTACATACGCTTCAGGTTACATACACTTCAAGTTACAGACTCCGCTAACCCAGAAATAGTGCTTCAGGTTAAGAACTTTGCTTCAGGATAAGAACAGAAATCGTGCTCTGGCGGCGCGGTGGCAGCAAGAGGCCCCATTAGCTAAGGTGATGCTTCAGGTTAAGAACCATGTCAGGTTAAGAACGGACCTCCGGAATGAATTAAGTACTTAACCCGAGGTACCACTGTACTGCAGTCAGAAGCAGTGTCCAGGCGGAAATCGCTAAAATATCCGGGAAAATAACAACAAATGGGTCCAACAACTTTGGCCAACCTACCCCCACAAAAAACAGTAGCACCTGAACATCACAAGAGCCCTTCTGGATCAAACTGAGGGTCCTTCTAGTCTATAGCATTGTTTCTCCCTCATTAGCCAAGCGGATACCGCCACAAGCAGCCATCCTATAGTCTTGCCCCCAAACAATGGTTTACTGTGCCGTAGTATTTTCCCAGTTATAAATATGCCAGATAAGTTCATCTACTTACATGGCACTCATGAGAGAGGGCAGTTGGCCTTCTCGCACCATTCTAAGGCTATGTATTCTGCATGCTTCCATTCCTGGATGGCTTAGTTGGTAAGAGCATGGTGCTCATAATGGCAAGGTTGCAAGTTCGATTCCCGTATGGGACAGGTGATCCTCAGGGTCCCATCAACTCTACAATTCTGTGATTTCTAAGAGGTCAGCACTTGCCTCCATTCTCCCCTCTAGCAATCACAAATGGCTTTTCATATATCATTTTCTTACATCGTACGGATCGTGTTTCTCATGTTCTTTACAGTGCTTATAAGGAGAAGACACACCAGCCCTTTGGAAATTCCTATAATACTTTCTTTTCTTTCCAAATATGTCTCAGGTAGTGACAAATTCTGTGAATACTGGATGCAAGCATTTCTCAATGGCTCCGAAGGGGGAAATCCATTTCTCTTCCGACAAATACTGGAGAACTTTAAATTGAAGGTAACACATTATTGTTATACAGGCAACCCCCCATTTATGTGGGGGTTATGTTCTGAGGCAACCACCCATTTAAGTGAAATTGCCTGTATTTGAAAGACCATCGAAAAAGCCTGCAAACACCCTGTTCCGCCCCTTTTTGTGACATTTTTGGGCCTCTTCTGGTGCAATTTACACATGCACAATCATGCACATTTCAGACACCCCTAAAATGGTCACTACCTATAGTTGATTTGGTGGAAATAGGATAGATTTCTGGTTACCTTCACACACTGCTTACGAATTGAGGATGAATCTCGTTCACTCTGGCAGTGTTTAATGTTGGGACCCCTGACCATTAGGTCCAGTCGTCACCGACTCTGGGGTTGCGGCACTCATCTCACTTTATTGGCCGAGGGAGTCAGCTTCCGGGTCATGTGGCCAGCATGACTAAGCTGCTTCTGGCGAACCAGAGCAGCACACGGAAATGCCGTTTACCTTCCCTCCGGAGCGGTACCTATTTATCTACTTGCACTTGACGTGCTTTCAAACTGCTAGGTTGGCAGGAGCAGGGACTGAGCAGCGGGAGCTCACCCCGTCATGGGGATTCGAACCGCCAACCTTCTGATCGGCAAGTCCTAGGCTCTCTGGTTTAACCCACAGCGCCACCCGCATCCCTGTTGTTGGGATGGCTCCAAACTATTAGCCAGTTTAGCCAAAGAACTATGATAACAAGACACAATTAGCACTCATCTGAAGTGTGTAACAAAATTCTTACTGGTTTTTTATATCCCTGGATTACTCCCTTTGCCTTTCCACATTCCATGGACTGGAATCTGTGTTTTAGCATACATTAATCTGCAACCAGATACTATGAACAGAATTTTTTGTATAGAAGAAAATGAACTGTATGCTCTAGGTAAGTACCATAAAGGTGGCAGCAATTGCTGGGTCTAATCGAGTGAAATTTAGACTGTGATCCTATACCTACTTACCTGTCCCACTGAAGCTGAGAAGACACACATAGGATTGTACTGTCAAACACTTTTAAGTCTTGCCGATTCCAGTAGGAGAGAGAAGCTTTATTTTCTCCAGAAACCAGTTGAGGATAAAAGTGCATAAAATGGATTGAGCGTGTTGCTTTTGAGGTCACTATTTTCAAATTAAGGATAAGCTATTCCTACGGAAGGGACGCGGGTAGCGCTGTGGGTTAAACCACAGAGCCTAGAACTTGCTGATCAGAAGGTCGGTGGTTCGAATCCCCACGACGGGGTGAGCTCCCATTGCTCGGTCCCTGCTTCTGCCAACCTAGCAGTTCGAAAACATGTCAAAGTGCAAGTAGATAAATAGGTACCGCTCCAGCGGGAAGGTAAACGGCGTTTCCGTGTGCTGCTCTGGTTCACCAGAAGTGGCTTAGTCATGCTGGCCACATGACCTGGAAGCTGTACGCCGGCTCCCTCGGCCAGTAAAGCGAGATGAGCGCCGCAACCCCAGAGTCGGTCACGACTGGACCTAATGGTCAGGGGTCCCTTTACCTTTACCTATTCCTACGAAAATTCTTGTTTACTGCTCCCAGCGCATATATTGGCATGGTATAGACAGGATCCCTGAAACAGCTGCATCTGTATGTGCGTTGGTACACAATCAGTTGCAATCTATAAAAGCAAGATTGGCAGTCGTATCGAGCAGCTGATTTGCACGGGGAGTCAATCCAGCCCCTTTGCTCTGAACAGCTGATCTTGTGCTATTGCCAGTGTTCATTCTAGGCTGCGTGCACAGACTCCCCGTAGAGATAATGGGGGAGGAAATGTCCGCAATTTGTCTGTTTACATGTATAGTTTCTTCTCCATCTAAGAGATGCACATGACCATCAAACGTTCGCTGCTGTCTTTCTAGGCCATACAAGACATCAACAACCTGAAGCGCTTCATCAGGCAGGCAGAAATGAACCATTACGCTTTGTTCAAGTGCTACTTGTTTCTGAAGAACTGCGGCAGCGGAGACGTCCTCCTGAAGATTGTGAAAGTTGAACACGGAGAGATGCCGGAAGCCAAAAATGTAATAAATGTCCTCGAGGAGTTCATGAGAGAGCCGGTTTGTAACCCTTCTCCTGAACTTGGGGCTACTGACACATTGCAGAATTAGTGTGTCTCCGGGAGAGAAGGAAATGTTGCTTTTCAAACAACCAGGTGCACGCTTTGCAGAGAGCTGCACTTGGTTCTAGCTCCTCGCAACATTTGATCCAAGTGTTCAGGAAAAGGCACACTTCTCTCAGATTTAAAGCGTAAACTGTGAGCATAGACCAACAACCCAAGTTTGTAATGAGCCTTAAAGTGGCCAGAAGGTGGGTTAATATTCTGAATCCTCATTTGTGAAATAGAATTCGCTGTTTCATTTGTACTTAAAAACTTTGGACGATTAGAAAACTCTTGCATTTCCCCTCTTTTGTGGAAAAAGAGTTCTCTTTCATTAACTTATTATGTGAAAGCTAATTACTTTCTTTTCTTACTTTGGGAATAGGAGGTTATATCGTTTGAAGTCTTCCACAACTGGACCAAAACCGCATTTTCATGTCAGTGATGGTGTTAGGCTTACCTATTAAGAAAATAGTTAATTAAAGCAACCCCAGTGGATCATGATTCAATATTCAGATCAGGTTTAAGAATATAAATTTAAGAATATAAACTGATGAAAGATTGATCACATATAACACTTTAAAATTATAATATTATATTATCATCAACTGTACTTTACCTGCAGGTCCCAGGGTGTGTTACAAAAATTAAACGGTCAGAGCAGATTACAGTGAAACGACCCAAAAAAATTCTGCTTTGTACTTTGCTTGCGCATCACGATTTGATAACTGATCCAGAATATCTCTGTGTAGTTTCCGAATGCATTTGCCTTGAGGTTGTGACTGCAAGACTGTAAAAGCCAAGTACCTGGAAACCTGTGCAGACAACCAGATTTTTTAAAAATGAAATCGGCTATTGCCACCTTTCTCCCAATACCCTGGAGTTTAAAATAACCTGGGGTTGTGAAATGAGGGAGCCCTTTAAAGGGTAACCTGTTTGTGGAGGCTGGCACCACTGCTTTTTCAAGCTCTGGGGTGTTTAGAGATGCAGTCTGAGGATCCTCTTAGAGCAGCAGCTGAGATAAAATTTCCCACGCATGTAGGCCTATTTATTTATTTATTTAGAAGCTGCAATCCTTGCCACCAGACATTTCGCCCGGGAAGGTGGGGTGTATGTATGTGGGGATTAAATCCAGTCCCCGCCCCACAACCACATTCGTCCCCCTGAAGTCAGTGGGAATATAGCTTCTTTAAATGCACTACATACACCCAGCTCTGTTGTACATGTTTCTGCAGTGCACCACCTGTGATGTATATGTGTGTGTTTGTGTGCAGAAGAGCGATTCCACAGGTGTATTCACCCCAGACTGGATAGAAACACTCAGTTTTGGCCAGATATATCTAGAAACTGCCTCCGTTCTCGATTTGCCTATATTTCGTTCAATGGCGAAATGTATCGCGAGAGGTTCAATCATTTTTCACTTTTCTTTAAAACAGGGCCACTTCTAGTTTTCACCTACTCAGGGGGCACAGTCCTTCAAAAACACATTCCCCCCTCCCAAAGGCCCCTGATTCAAAAAGTTAAATTTAAGTGCCGTAATGGGCTCTGTGTATAATATACGCAGAAAATTGGCAGTTTGCTCTGACCATCCGCTTGTAAAGGCGAGGCGATCTCTTAAGGGATGCATGTGCAAAAACTAATCCAGCTTGGAGCGGCACAGTTAACAGTCCTGTACTGGGGTGGGGGGTGTGAGTTTTCCTAGCCCGTGACTTGCTCTTAGGCAATCCTAGAAAGAGATCTGCATGTGGCTACTTAAGTTTATGGATGGATGGCCTCTGCTAGAGCTTGGTCCGAAAGAACCGGGCTAAAGCAATATCCGAATCCAGATTTCAAGACTAACGGCACACCTGTCGAAATAGCTGTTAATTATAGTTGCAATTGTAAAATGTGGACAACCCCCCCCCCCCCCGCACACAAAAGGAAACCTTTACACGTCGCTTTTATTTATTTATTTTTTGGCATGTTTATATCGACCACCATGTTAATAAAAAGAGAAGAAGCTGAACAGTAAACCTCAAATAGAACCCGTGCACAAATAACTGTTGGAACAAAACTATAAAGTATGTACACCATAGAAAAATATTTTGACGTTACAGCATGCTACTTTGCAAGTACTGTGTGTGCTCTAATAGCCCTTGATGGGAAAAGCATATTCTGTTCAGCATTATTATTATTTTTTAAGGCAGAATTACTTCATTTGGTGCTATGATGGTTAACTATGGAGGGAGGTACTAACAGTGTAAGCAAAAGAAAGGAAAGCTTCATCGATCTAGCTTTATTCCGTAAACTTAACAGACGCTGTGGGGAGGCAGGATGTGCTTGGTGACTAATAGAGCTATTAAATTTGGTGAAAAACAACATGTTTACTGCATAAATTCAACCCGTGAAATTCTGTGTGCCTTGTAAAGCTCTCTGTGTTACCAATTTGTATTCTGGTTTGGGATTCTGGGAAGAACTTTTTCCAATTAGAAATCAGTGATTAATTATGGTATTAAAATGCATTTCCCTTCAAGCAACTTTGCTTTTGTTTCACTTCTGTTTGTTACTGTACCGAATGGTTGAATATAATGGGTGAAATTCAACATTGCACGATTACAAATGTCAGCTGAGTTCCCCTGACCCCTCCTCCCACTCCCTATTTTTTTGGGGGGGGAGGGGGGAAGCCATCTTGTGGAAGTGGAAGCCATTGCACAGGGCTTCTGCTGATGGGTTTGTTAGGTGAATCCCACCCCTAAATCTTTGTGATAAATAGGTTCTTCAGTTTGCACTATGCAGATGAAAAGAGGCTTGCAGCAAGAAGTGCTAAGATGCTTCTTACCATTGTTGAGTTTAGAAGTTAGCTTTGCATGTGAACAAACCTCAGAGACATTGCAACAATCTGCCCCACTCGTAAACTCAAACCTGCAATAGAAAGTGACTTAGGATGTTAGGAATGTGTGCATCCACTATCATACAAATGATGTTTCACTTGAAAGGCTTTTGGGAAGATGGGCACTGAAGATTGGGCAGTGTGCCCAATATGAGCTGCTTAGAGAATTTATTTGCAGGACTAGAAAAGTTAGTACTGTAAAATTCTTCCCTCTTCCAGGCTTGTAAAGACATTTTGGGGTCAACGAACACCATCCACACATTAATGCAGGGTCACAGAGACCTGGTACAAAGATAATAGGCCTGTTTCCAAACCTGGTAGTTATGGTGAGATGACAAATGTGTGTGGCTGAATTTGTGTGGTTGAGACTGTTAGAAACCCAAATTTTCATTCTATCCTGAAACCAGATGAAATGTGAGCAGCACGTAATCCCAAGAGTCTTAATATGCATGAGGTCCCCCCCCCCGTAACTCTGGTGTAGACTTATGTCAAGTACAGTCAAACCTCGGTTCTCAAACAGATCCGTTTTCGAACGTTTTGGTTCCTGAACGCCGAAAACCCGGAAGTAAATGCTCTGGTTTTTGAACCTTTTTCGGAACCCAAACATCTGGTGCGGCTTCTGCTTGAGTGTAAGAAGCTCTTGCAACCAATCGGAAGCTGTGCCTCCGTTGTCTAGCGTTTCAGAAGTCGAACAGTCTTCCAGAATGGAATATGTTTGACAACCAAGGTTTGACTGTACTCGATTCCATTTTGACTGTCTCTAAAATGTGATGCTGCTTTGTAAGTTGATTAAGTGGGGAAAGCTTTGCCCGTTTGTAAATAAGTTCAGTATTGGTTAGACACAATTCTACTTAGCGGGAAAGACCAGGTCAGAGTTTGATGGCACTTGATAAAATTTTAGCAGCAAGTTTTTTCTTTTTTGGATAACATTTGCAAAGTTCAGCTGTGCTCATTTCCACACTGGCTAGAATTGGATAGGGACACATTTCTGCATCTGAACCAAAAGACTCATTCAGCTAGTTGAGTCGGAGGCCCAGGTGGGTATCACAATTTGGGTAGGGCTGCTTCTGCAACCTTGCCAGTTGGGGCATATATTTTAGAATTTTTATTCTATTTTATTTAATTTAAATTTTATCATCTCTCCCCACTGTGAAGTTTCCACCGCAGCTGCTTGCCCTGCTGAAAAGCCAGGACGGCTTTTTCAATTTAAGTGTTAAGTTTAAAATGTAAATCAAAAAGTGACTTCTAAGAAATTATGGCTGCATAAACACCATTGTGTTGGTAGCCATTAAGAAACCATTCAGCCTCAAATTTTAGATATATTAAAACAGAGACCCATGGTTCCTACTCCGTGACCAAAACATCAAGAACATCAAAGTTTCACACTTCTTTTTTGCGCCCATTAGTAGATTGGAAACTCTTTCAAACAAACCACAGTTCCCTGTGATGTCTAGACTTTGAACCCTGGTTTATTTAAACAAGGGTTAGTGAAAACAAACCAGGATCAAGCTGTGGCTTCATATCCTGGTTTGGTCACTAACTAGAGGTTAAACAAACCAGTTCCTTGAGTTTTGACATTACATAAAAAATCCCTTAAAGGTGAAATGAAAGTTTCTGATAAGCTACAGGTGTCGAAGAAGAGAAAAGGGAAATAAGTCCAGGAGGCCTAAGCGTTCCTGTTAAATCTGAACTAGGCCAGAGACAGTCTACACCAGGGTTTTCCAAACTTGGATCTCCAGCTGTTTTTGGACTACAATTCCCATCATCCCTGACCATCGGTCCTGCTAGCTAGGGATGATGGGAGTTGTAGTCCAAACACAGCTGGAGACCCAAGTTTGGGAAACCCTGGTCTATACTTTCAGTAACAAATACAGTAGCAAGTCACCACTTTCTGAGCTGCAAAATTGCACCCTGGATTGTGTTCAGTGACAGGTAGAGAAAGCACACCTGAAACATTGGAGTTGCTTAACACTTTCCCACCTGCCACGTCATGTAGTAGAAAACTGCTTCACTTTCCTTCATGTGCTTTGACAGAAAATTAATTGGGGCCAAATGGATCTGCAGGGGAAAGAAGGTGGGATGATTGAGAACATACACATCCAATCCATTGCTCCCCCCCCCCTGCAAACTGGATTCCCAATAGTACAGATGAGCCGACAAGAGCATAATCAAACCTTGCAACATATTCCGCTTCCTTTGCCCCATCTGTCTGATTTGCTGAAGGCCACCATGCTGAAAGCTGTGTGCAGGACTGGATTCTACGTCTAACATGCCCAAACTCACTGTGCACATCTCAGTGCACGGGCTGATGTCATGGGGGTTTCTGGAACAAATTCTTCATTTATCTAGGGATTTCTTCCAGGACCTTAAGCCAGACTCGACATAGAAACACAATTAATAAACACGACCATCTGCTTCTATATATAGAGCAGTAGAATTAGTCCGGAACAGTCGCATGAAAAATCTAATTTGAAATTTGTGAACACAGCCTTTAGAAAGAGTAGCTACGTAACGCTGCCCGGTAGATGTCCCTGTAGGAGCTGAGCAATCTGTCTCTTGCATCACCCTTCCCTGTCAGTTGCTCTTTAAACCCTATGCTGTAATACTTCATTATAAAAGAACGTGACAGCACGTTCTGGCTCTAAGTCCATGTTTGCCAGTATGAAACCCTGCATGTTCTCCCTCACCGACGCAGCATTTTAATTATTTTGAATATATTTTAAAGGAAGGCTGAGTCTACGGCGCAGAGATTCTGGCAGGAGCAGAGTTAAACACGAAGACTTTTTGTGACGAGGCTAAGACTCGCTGCAAGATGCAATTAATCTACAGCAGTCTGCAATGTTGTAAGCTAGCAAGGACATCTGGAGGTAAAGGAGAAAATTATCCTCTAATCACTCATTGGCGCAGCGATATCCCAGAACGACTGGGTGACTTTAAGAGGCAGTTTAACTCAGAACGGCCTCCATTCTTGTGCGATCTGAGTGGCAAAATGTCTAAGCTTTGCAGAGGCATTAGCTAGAAACCTTGCAGAAGATTTCATTTGCCTCGGATGCAGGGTGGGGGTTGTGGAGGAGAACTGCAAACTAGATTTGGGGTTGATGACAGTCATAAAGGATGTGACGTGAATAGGGTGAGATCAATGAGAAGTGTTTTCGTCTCTTGCCCTTGCTCCATGATGGAGTGTCCTTTGCTATGGTTGGGGGCAGATTATGTGGTTGGGAAGCAGATTTCAACCTCAAAAGTAAAATGTTTTATCTGAGCCAAGAGCCTCATTATGCAGGAAATTCTGTTCACCGCAGCACTGAGGTATAGTTCTCATAGGCACACATGAATCAGACCACTGGCCCATCTAACTCAAGACTGTTTACACCACTTGGCAGCTGCTCTCCAGGGGTTTTCGGTCAGGGGACATTCTCAGCTGTTTTGAGAAGCCAGGGATGGAACCTAGAACTTTCTACATGCAATCCAGATGTTCTGCCACTGAATTTGGCCCTTCATGAAAAAGGTGAGGAAATAAACCTATTTGGGGGATATAGTAGCGCAGATGGGGACTTGATTGAATACTGCTCCAGACAGATAAATTGGTATGTCAGGGAGAAGACTAGGCTCAAATCCTTTTCCTTGACAGCTAATAATAATTTATTATTTATACCCCACCCATCTGGCTGGGCTTCCCCAGCCACTCTGGGCAGCTTCCAAAAAAATATTAAAATACTATAATACATCAAACTTTAAAAGCTTCCCTAAACAGGGCTGCCTTCAGATGTCTTCTGAAAGTCTGATAGTTGTTGTTCTCTTTGACATCTGGTCAGAGGGCGTTCCACAGGGTGGATGCCACTACGGAGAATGCCCTCTTCCTGGTTCCCTGTAACTTGGCTTCTCGCAGTGAGGGAACCTCCAGAAGGCCCTCGGTGCTGGACCTCAGTGTCCGGGTAGAACGATGGGGGTGGAGACACTCCTTCAGATATACTGGACCAAGGCCGTTTAGGGCTTTAAAGGTCAGCACCAACACTTTGAATTGTGCTCGGAAATGTACTGGGAGCCAATGTAGGTCTTTCAAGACCAGTGTTATGTTGTCTCTGCGGCCGCTCCCAGTCACCAGTCTAGCTGCCACGTTCTGGATTAGTTGTAGTTTCCGGGTCACCTTCAAAGGTAGCCCCACGTAGAGTGCATTGCAGTAGTCCAAGCGGGAGATAAACAGCTAACACGATGTGGGGATTATTATTTTGAGGGAAGGAGCATTCAGTCATGTGGGTTGCAATATTGCCCATACCTGCTATTTATGAGAACAGGGCTTACGAGTGATTCAGAATATCATCCATGCTACTGCTGTGTACCCACCTCTCACTTTTCATAGAATCATGGAATCATAGAGTTGGAAAGGACCCCACAGGTAATCTAAATCCAGTCCCCTGCAAATGCAGGAATCTCAACTACAGCATCCATGACAGAAGGCCATCCAGCCTCTCCTTAAAAACTTCCAAGGAAGGAGAGTCCACAACCTCCCAAGGGAGACCGTTCCACTGTCAAATAGCTCTTACTGCCAGAAAGTTCTTCCTGATGTTTAGTCAAAATCTCCTTTCTTTTAACTTAAAGCCATGCTTTCCCAGGTGCAGATAAGTCACGATGAAACGTTTGCTGTTTTGGTGTCTGTCCCGAATCTGAAACGGCAGCAAGGCTCTGCAGGCTGTTTTGTAAGTTTACACTTCCTTCTAATAAAGCACTAGAATTGAGCACTCTGACATTTGGTATCCCTGCATCAAATCACTCGCACAGGACCTCCTTTGGGCCTGTGGATCAGGACATTGTCACATTCTAGAAGCATGCTCCCTAGCCTTCTCTAACTTGGAGCTCTCTGGCTATACTGTGAAGCCCAGCCATCCTCACCAAATGGGCAGCTCTCCCTGAGTTCCCGGCAAAATACACACACACACACACACACACACACACACACACACACACTCCAACTCAGATACACACCTTTCATAATGATGGACATTTCACTAGTAGAAAATAACTCAGATAAACATGTAACCTATAGTCATCATAGGTCCGTCACTTTGTTTTTACCTGTGGAGAGATAAAGCCCAAGTAGACGAGGCTTTGGCTTCATAATGGGGGGGGAAAGCCTATGACAGGAAAAAGGGATTTAACGTGAACTCATTGGATTAATGAGACTGGTGCCAAACTGTGTGCCGATCACTCAAAAGCCTAAGCTTGTCCCTGGCAACAATCTGTGAGCCTATCAAGGCAAAATTCAAACACCAGCAAGACCTCAGAATTCTGGTTTCTTGATTGCATCTTCAGCTCAGTCAGATTTGAGCTCTGTAATTCTTATCTTCCATTTAACAACCGCAAGCAAGTGAACTGTAAAAAGGCTTTCTGTAGGACTCTGGCCTTCTCCTAATAAACGGAACATGTGTCACATAGTGAGCGGCATTGCCCCCCCCCCCCAGTTTTTCTGCAGTAAGCAAACCAGGTACTCAAAATCAGCTGCCTTCTAAGCACCAAACCTTTAGTGTTGCCAGTGTTCCTGCTGGATGCTTCCCGGTGGGTGTTTATTTTGGGATGGGTAGTCCACATCCATGCGTATTTTTTGCTGCATCCTCATGACACTGTTGTCATCTAAATGCCAGCCTACATTTTTCTCCCATTTAATCCAGATTAACCCTTTCTAGGGGGAGTCGATTAAGCTAAAAGAACAAAAACAACCTGTTGCCAATGACCTGACTCCATTTGCAATATCTGAATGACCGGTTTGCAAATTTAGACCGTGCCTGAAGTATGCAGAGTGTTCTGTGAATAACGTAACCAGGCCACCCACAACTAACCTTTCATCTGATGAGCATTGGTGCAAAGGTTTTTTGTGTTCGATGATCTCCATCCCCAACTAAAGGGCAGTCTTGTTCTGGGCGTGGTTGTTTGGCGGTGGTAGTTGAATTTCCAAGTGGCATGCCACTGCGACTGGTTCTTGGAACTAAAATTACCAGGAAGCAATGTGATAAGGCACATATGCACGGCCTCATCATTGTGCATGCATCATTAGAAGCTAGAAAAGAAATATCCAAAGAAATGAGGAATGATTTCTGGGTTTTTGAATGGTTAGTGAGAAAGATCAATATTACTGGGCTGGCGCGGTAGCAGCAGGAGGCCCCATTAGCTAAAGTGGTGCTTCAGGTTAGCAACAGTTTCAGGTTAAGTACGGACCTCCGGAATGAATTAAGTACTTAACCTGAGGTACCACTATAGTATGAGACAAAGAATAACAACTTTAGAAAAAAATGAGAACAAATATTGCCCCTCTTTGAAAGATGTATGAAAAAAGGAACGGCTAGGAATCGTACAATTCTCCCCTTTCTCAGGACGGCTGTGTCCCTGGGCTGTTATGCTAGGATCTTTCTGGTGTGCTTATTTGTGCTGCAAAATGGACATAAGGGTTATTTGCAACAGACAGCATTTGCTGTCATTTAAGTTTCAATTTTAGTGTGCTTCGCATGGAAGTCACCAAGCACTTTAGATATGTTAGCTCATTTGGCAGCCACAATACCGAACTGGAGGAATCAAATTAGGACTTACCCTGCTTGCTTGCTCAGCTCTGCTAGCTTCCTGCCAGCATGGCCTCTTCACACATTACATTTCAAAATGCCTACGTACAGTATCTTAAGTGTATGGCGGAATTGCCATTTATGAATGCAGCAAACATGCGTCGTACAAATACAGTTGCCAGGGAACGAGGCACAAGTTGGCTTGTCAGCAGGCCCCAGTTTGTCCTGGGTATTGTATGAAATGGCTTACACCACCCATCTTTTAACATGTACCCATTATCCAAGTTTAGAGCAGCCATGCTGAGCTTACGTCCAGGAACAGGAGCTGGCACAAAGACCTATGCTTCTGCTGATTTATATAATTGCAAAGCTGCAAAGATTCATATAATTGCAAAGCTGGTACAGAAGCTGCTCGCATCATCTGCTAGGTATGATCTCATCCCTTCTTTTGCAGAACACCCAAGATCCATCCCCTAGTTTTCAGTGAGGTAGTAAACCTGTGTCTGGGCTGCACCACTTTAGACCGCAGGTAGGGGCTCACACACTCGAATGTTCCAACACACAAAATCGTTTTCTACATAGAAAATTAGATGCAAAGGAGAAATGTTCTAGCACTGCCCTCTCCCTGGTACCTAATTTTCTAAGTACGGGGGATTTTCACATGAAAGCATTCAGTCATGTCAACTAATACTTGTTGCTTGAAGTGGTACAGGTCAGGTGTTGCTTTACGCCAGGAGTGAGGTACCAGCGGCCCTCCAGGTATTGTTGGACTCCAAGTCCCATCAGCACGCCAATGGTCAGGGATAATGGGAGTAAGCCAGCACATCTGGAGGGCTACAGGTTCCCCAGCCTTGGTTTACTCCAGAACATGCAGTCCTCTGGATGTTGGTGGACTACATCTCCCATCATCCCTGACCATGGGCTATGCTGGTTGGGACTAATGGGAACTGGAGTCCAAAGACATCTCGAGGGCCATAGATCTCCTTCCCGTTTTACTTTAGCAAGAACTAAGCCCTACTCAAGGTACTGTCGTCAAATGCATCCCTGACCCACTTGACCCTCTAACCGTGCAATCTTCTACATGCCTACTCAGAAGGATGCTCCACTGAGTACAGGACTGTATCTAAATTACACCTGCAAAATTCATAAAGCAGCATTGCAGCTATTTTTCAAAACACATGAGGCAAAGGAACCATGTCCACATTTTCCAAATAAGAACTGCGTAGAAATGTTTGTTAGGGGTGTGACTGCATATGTCTCCCTAGGTTGCAAGAACAACACCCCAAAAATCAAAGGGGTGTAGAGTTGTGGTCTCTTGTCTTGTCCAATGCTATAGACGGGAGATAAAACATCCATTATACGCTCTGTGCGCTGAAATCTTCTGGAATAGCATAATTGAACTAAGAGACATCTAGCAACCCCTTCCCAGCCAACAAGTAGATCTTGCTCTTTTTTTTTAAAGAATGTGTAGGACCAAGGAAGAAAATAAGAGGCCAGAAGAAAATAGTATGATTGTCCACAAAAAAAAAAATACAAAATATTCAAGTGGTCTGCAAAGTATTCAAGAATGAAAACCCAGTCACAAACTCTGAATATCTAATTAAATATGAAGTTGTATTTAGCAACCAGGTTAAAGCACTTTCAAATCTTTCTGTGCAATTTGGTTTGTCCTTTAGTTGAGAAGTGGCCTCTACCACTGGCAAGTTGTGAACCCATATACGCTGAACCCCTTGGAAGATTTCTGTAAGACCTGCTCCTCTTAACAAGGCAGCAGACTTGAGGATCTGTCCAGGTTTACTGGGCAGCAGCAGTGGCACTGAAGAACAGCCTGACCCGTCAAGCCAAGCATCCTTGGCTGAGTGCCCTTTTAGTTAAAGGAAGCAAGAGCTTTTCCCTCATGGCCTGATGGATGGCTCTTGTAAATTGTGAGTATGGTAGAAGATTAACCTGGAAAAATGTAGGCAACCCAAACAAAATTTCACTATGTGCATTAGCGTTCACCAGTATGTGGTGTTAAGTGTCCTGTTAGACAAATATAGGGCTGAATTGTCAGCCTTTTTATCATGAAAGCAACACCAAGCTACTTGCATGATCAAGGCCTGGTCCTTATGGACTACGGCGATACCTGCAAATCTCCATGCCCAAATCTCCTTCCAAACAAGTTTCTATTGGCCAGTCCCTGCTTAGGTCATCGTTTTCCAATAATATGGTCACCTCCTAGCCATGCAGCATATAGTTTCCCCCTCAACTTGTGCCATTTCAGAAGATGGGTTTGCTTATATCCTGTGATATTCATACAAAAATAAACCCTCCGTTTCAATCCCACCCCACCTCACCCTCCCCCACCCTGCCCTTGAAATGGAGCTGGCAGATGGGAAGTTATCCATTTGTCCTTGAGAGCCCCTCGACCCAGAATCTCAAGGAGGTGGAGGTAGTTTCAGGTCCAACAGGCTATAGGCGAAAATGTTCCAGAAGATGGCAAAGAGAACAAACACCACGTACATGGAGACAAAGATCCACCATAAGGACTGGTCTTGGAGTCTCTGCTCATAGTTCCTTAGGATGACTACGCCTAGGGTGATTCCAACAGCAACGCCCCCAAGGTGGGCGACAAAACTTGGGTGTGGGCATGGAGGGTAAGCGGATGGGTAGAACCTCAGCCACACAGCTCTTCCAAATTCAAAGCTCACTGGAAGAGAGGAGAAACGAGAGGTCACTGGTCTTGAAAGTGCTTCTAGGTTGTTTTTTCCAGATATTTCAATATATTTTGGCAGTTCTGTTTTCAAATTATTATTTTTTATCATTATCAATGAGAAAATCCAAAGCGTTTAAATATAATTGTGCACTGTTGTGCAACGTTTTATTTGCTATGGTAAGATCCCTATAATACTATTATGAACCCAGTTTTAATATTTCTGTAAGTAGTTACATCGAGCATTTACCGTATTTTTCGCTCTGTAAGACGCACCAGACCACAAGATGCACCTAGTTTTTGGAGGAGGAAAACAAGGGAAAAAAAAATTCTGAATCTCAGAAGCCAGAACAGCAAGAGGGATCGCTGCGCAGTGAAAGCAGCAATCCCTCTTGCTGTTCTGGCTTCTGGGATAGCTGCGCAGCCTGTATTCACTCCGTAAGACACACACACATTTCCCCTTACTTTTTAGGAGGGGAAAAGTGAGTCTTATAGAGCAAAAAATACCGTAAATATTTCTACAAATCCTAAAGCAAAAAAAGTATCACCTCCCCACTTATTGTACCATTTCATCCATACTTGCTACTTTGAAATGCCCCCAGTGAAGAACATTGATGGCTTCACAAAGTTTTGCACTTGAATATAATCAAACACTGTTCCTCTGTGTAAAAATATATTCTTGTCGTATCCTCTTTTCACCAGATTTGTTAGCTTCATCATGTATGCCATACCCCAGGCTATGTTTCAAATTGTTCTCAAGTACGTTCATATTTGTGATGGCCTGGGACTCAGGCTCAGATCCAGAGGAGTCTCAGTCTGCACCAGATCTTTTGCCTTATCTGAACCAAGTCTGGGGCCTGATCCTGAAGAGTCCCAGTCTGCACAGGTTCCCCAGCAACAAACACCCAACTGGCCCAAGTCAGGGGCCTGAGCCTGCCCTGGCTCCAGATGCGGGGATTACCTTGCTGCCTTCAGCTGAGCTATCACTTATAGCTGATCCACTACCGGTTTGGTCAGGGGAGGCTGAGGCGGCCTCTGGGTCTAGTAACCCACCAACATCTCCTGAGCTTCAGAGACTTAAGGTCTGAGAGAAGGAGAGACCTGAGTACGCGCAGGAGGAGTGCTCGCCTCTGGGCGAAACAGGGAGGTGAGTCGCCGGGGGATCAGGACTGGCCGTTACCCCAAAGATAAAAGGCTGTCAGACCCCGCCCCAGGTTGCGGGAGCAACATTGCTGTATGCCAGACCCTGCCTGAGATCCTGTACCTGTCCTTGTCTGGTTTCCTGCCTCGTGTGCTGCCTTGGCCCTGTCGGACTGACTCCTAGTGGAACCTATGGATTCTGGACCAGACCTGGACCGCAGTTCTCGGGTTACCCCTGGGCCCAGCACATTATTTTACTTTCAATTGCATAGGTTTTCTGCTCTGTTGTTTTCTGGCCTGGACTCCTTTGGGAGGAAAGGCAGGATAGGCTATAAACAAACAAACACACACACACACTTGGTTCCTCTGCACACCCTGAAGAGGTTCAGTTTGACAGCAGCAACCAAGGGCAGAACAAGCGCTGTGTGCAACATGGGGCAGCTACCAAAAACAGCACACCTACCTGGCGCTTTCTTATATAACAAGCAATTACACTCAGAGAATGTTGCGATAAGTCAGCCATGCAGTCTGTTTCCCTGCTGGCATCCTCGCGATGAAGCGAGGATGTCATCATAGCTGAAGCAGATGCTTCCAGCTCTTGACTTATGTTGTTTGTACAATTTTCCCTTTCCCAAAATCAATAGCCATCTTTCAAAAGGAAGAAGAAGAGGATGTCATCATGACACCAGGAGCAGAACTGTGCTGTACAGAATGTTACAGAGGCTCATGGGAGAGTGCTCAACACAGGAATGCTGGTTTTGGCGACTGCCCCGTATTGTTCATAAGGCTGCGTTAACCCCCAAGAAGCACGAAAGTCTCCAATCCGGGTGTGTGCTTCACTCTTTGCAGGGTCAGAACCAAAGCGAGCGATAATGACTACTACAGCCAATAAAAGGTAAAAAAAGGGAAAGGACCCCTGGATGGTTAAGTCCAGTCAAAGGTGACTATGGGGTTGCGGCACTCATCTCGCTTTCAGGCTGAGGGAGCTGGCATTTGTCCACAGACAGCCTTCTGGGTCATATGGCCAGCATGACTAAACCACTTCTGGCACAACTGGACACTGTGATGGAAACCAGAACGGCCGGGAACACTGTTTACCTTCCCACCGCAGTGGTACCTATTTATCTACCTGCACTGGCATTCTTTCGAACTGCTAGGTGAGCAGAAGCTGGGACAGAGCAACCGAGAGATCACTCCGTCACAGGGATTCAAACCGCCAACCTTCCGGTCGGCAAGCCCAAGAGGCTCAGTGGTTTAGACCACAGCGCCACCCGCGTCAATATTATGCCTCCCGATGTGTCAATGCAATTTACAGATAAGAAGGCTACTTAGATGGGAAATGTATGGGACATTGAGATCCTAAAAGGAGGTGCAGTAATGACGAATTTAAAATGACAACCTAGGTACATACCAAGCATATGAGGATACTTACTACAGATCAAGGCAACAGCCATGCGCAACAGCTTGAATTGGCACTTCATTCCAGACCAGTTCTGGGGAAAGAGAGGAGAGGGGAGTCAACAATCTCCAATTAAGTGTTTCACATGCTGAGAATCTGGAGGTAGGTATGAATCTAAAGGACCCAGAGGGCTCTCTCCTACCCCCCCTCCCCACACACAATGCCAGCGAACAAGCTTCCCTGCAGCTTCTGCAGCCTTTGGCATACTCTCAACTCACTGGGCTTCAGGGCAGAGAGAAACAAAATCAGAGATTAGCTTTCTGAAGTCAGTCAATTCCGCCTGCTTCTTAAGTCAGCAGCAATGCTGGCCAGAAGAGGGAGATGTTTTAAAACCAAACCGACGGGATGGGGAATGCCAATTTATTCCCCCTGCACCACACCACACTGCATAATCGCATGGGGTTTTGAACGCCTGTCCTTTCCGCTGTGAAACCCTTACTCAGGAGTCCCCAAGCGATTCTCACAGTTCATCTGTTGGGTGAAACGTCTGGGGGTGCATAGGGGACGAAAAAAGAGATAGGCGTTGACCCGCCACATGGTAAATTGTCATCTACTCTCTAGCAATTTCACAGATGAAAAGAAGGACTCCTCTGCTGCAACAGAATAGAGATTCAAATATGAGACTCTTGCCCCTAGGTATGGTTGAATCTGTCAATTTCAATTTCTCTCTGTTTCTCATTTTTCAGTTCACATGTCTGCAGCAATCTGCAATTTAGGAAAAAGATCCTAATGAAACTTAAGCAGCAACTTAATGCAATTTTCTCCTAATAAACACATTTTTTGTATGCCATTTTCAAGATTCTAAGTATTTTCACAAGCAATTGGACCCAATATATATACTCACTAATATATGCATTTTATGCACACTGGCTGGACAACTGCAGCACAAAACTGGAGAAGTGAAAATTTCAAAGGATATTTGTGTTTCAGTTCATATATGGGTCTGAGAAGGGCAAATCAGGTAGATTCTCATTAAAATGCGAACCACATCACATTTGTCCCCAATCCCTATCTGCCCCAAATTGTTTTCTTTTAATGTATTATTCTGCATTTCCTTTTATGGACAGAGCAGCATTTTTATATAGAGCATCTTTAATGAGACTGATATCATCAGTTTATGCAAACAGCTCTCCTTTTCAATCAGTTACATGTTGCTCTCTCTCTCCCATCTACCTTCCCAATTGAAAGAAAAGGAACAACCTGCAGCATACACTATGCTTTCCTAAGCAGGAAATTGGAAAGACCTTGTGGCACACAGCTTAGAAGTAGTGGAGGATCAATAAGAGAGCCCTGCTGCAAAGTAATGCAACCTGCAAAATTTAGAGGACAAGCTCAGTTCTCAAGGAAGAGAGACCGAAGGAAAGACTAATATTTAAGCACAGAGATGATGGGTTAGAATGGATAATGACCTTACAGGTGTAGTTAAGGCACTTTGCTGAATAGGTATTTAGGTAAGAAAGCACTCACTTCATCACATGTTCAATATTTGCACACCAAGGCAATAACTAAAGGTGCTTTGCAGCATAGCCTTTCCAGAGAATGCAATCATGCTGACAATCTTCAGCATGGATTATGACTGGGGTAGCATCAGAAATGTTTATTCGTCAGGCTTGTACAATGATAGCATTTTCTGCTGGTCAGATCAGCAAAAAAATTCTACCTGTCAAAACACGGTAGGCTCCTCTGGGTATTAAATAACACATTGTGGAATCATACATTGCCACAAAACAGTGCCTGATCCTGTCCCCTTATTTAGATGTATCTTGCACACATATTCTATAGCGCAGTGAAATCTGAATCCAACTGTGACAAGTGAACAATTATTACAGATCAGTTGTGCTACTTGTGATCCATCCCCTGCCCCTACAGCCAGCTCCAGTGATTGCGAAAATTGCCACTAATTATATCTGTGACCTTGTGAGAATGTATCCCGGAAAAACTAGAACTGCGAGATCATTATTGCCCATTATTTAGGGAAATTGCAAACTGTAAGGGAAGAAAGAGAAATGAACATTCCAGCTCATAACTTGCTCCGACGCAGAGGAGAATTTCTCATTTAGTTATTATGCAGCATCAAGGAAATACATGTTGGAATTGGTATCAGAAAGAGAGAAATTCTCAACCCTACGCTATTCGGAAGTAAGCCTCACTGACTTCAATGAGGCAAAGTTGTATAAGATTGCAGTCTTAAATATCTATCTCTTCTACCACTTTATATTATGTGTATCTATGAAACATAGGCCAGCAGAACATACGTTGCAGTGCTGACCAACATAACAGAAAGCAGACAAATCCAGAGTTAGTCACCTCAATATATTTAAAGATCAGGAGCTGAGACTTGAAGCACCCAGCTTTCTTTTCTCTGACAGAAATCAGTGCTACCATCTGTTTGTCCTTGACACTAGGCAATGCCACAAAATATTGCCTGATCCAAAGGCAAGCTTCTTGAGTGATGATTCTCAATAATTTCAGTGGATCAGGAAAGTTGAACAAGCCATAGGGATTTTTCCAGGGTGGGGTGTTACCAAGCAAATTCTACAAACAAATTCTACAAACAAACAAACAAACAAACAAACAAACAAACATATATAACTAGCATCAGAAAACAGGTTATCACTTCTAGTAGATCTGGTGACTGAGCTGTGTTGAGGCCTGGGTAGACCTGGCCTCTGAGAAGCTTATAGTCTAGGTCACTCCATTGTTTCCCAGCAGGTAGACTTGCTGTTTATCTATGGGTGAACCCGACTGTCAGGTAACATCTTTCCACTTGCCACTGGAACCCTCCATCCTTTTTCCCTGGCTCCCTTCATCTTCTCCAGCCCTTCACTAATTGCACTGCTGCTGCTACAATCAACTTCATTGCCCACTCCCCACTGCACTGATTTAAAAGACAGCTGCAAACCGTAAGCCTGGACTACAGCTTGAGATTGCCATACACTCCTTCCAGCAAAATGAGTATAACTCTTTTCAATAGAACAGGCATCAGAACTACCCAAGCTGCATTTCTGAAAGGCCCTCTGTAAGAATCTGTTATACTCAAGTCTATTAACAGACACAGAAATGCCAGAAGATACCAACAGAACGGGGAAGAATTTGCTAGGTGTCACCACCAAAGGCATGGATCTTCTGCAATTCTGATTGCAGAATTCAGTGTGTGGATTGCAGATTCCTGGACATTATTGCTTGCATTTTTAAGAATCCTTCAAAACAAACAAATGTCAAAATAAATAAAAACTAAAAAAAAAACCTGTCCAGTAGCACCTTAGAGACCAACTAAGCTTGTTCTGGGTATAAGCTTTCGTGTGCCTGCACACTATCTGGAGAAGTGTGCATGCACACGAAAGCTTATACCTAGAACAAACTTTGTTGTTGTTGTTTAGTCGTTCAGTCGTGTCCGACTCTTCGTGACCCCATGGACCAGAGCACGCCAGGCACTTCTGTCTTCCACTGCCTCCCGCAGTTTAGTCAAAAGAACAAACTTAGTTGGTCTCTAAGGTGCTACTGGACAATTTATTATTATTATTATTTATTTCGACTGTGTCAGACCAACACAGCTATCTACCTGAATAGAGAAACAAATGTTAACCTCTCATGTTCATTGTTTTGATATATGTATGCTGGAAAGTCCAGGCCTGGGAGCTCGTGCCATCAGCTTCTGTCATGAAACAAGTTGGCTTTTTTATTTATTCTGTCCTTTCTCCAAGGAGCTCAGGGTGGCATACAACTGGGGGGTGGTAGAAGGTAGCTCAGGATCTACTTATAGACCTGTTGGTGCTTTATAGAACATTGGCAAGGGTTTCTCTCTCTCAAGCCGTGGTAACAACAACATAACCTTTCCCATCTGAATGGGAGGAATGAAATGAAGAAAGCTAACCAGGAGCAGACTGTTGTATGAAAGGACTATGAGGTTAGTTCTGGTACTGTACACAAATTTCTAGGCTCAGAATGCGCTTAGAGGCACCTTGTTCTTTAATACTGAACTATATGCCTAAGGACGGATCGATTCTGACACTCAACATGCCTTTAATCTTATGTATTTTGCACCAGGCACTCATTGATGGATCTCAGGGTTCTAGTAAAAAAACAAAGTCGTGAGTCAGAGCATCTAATGTCTGAGCACAGAGTACACTGAAACAGGCTTGGCTACAGAACAAAAAAAGAAAAAGAAAACCCAACAATCTAGTAATACAGATGTGACAAGTCATCACCCCAGGAATTTTTCATAAGGCACTTCACAAAACTTTAAAGTCTCTGGCTGGGCCTGTGGCAGACTCATTTTTCTTTTATGAACAAAGCTCTGGGTGAGATGCGAGGGCTAACCAAGCAAAATATTACAGATCAATAAATCTGAGCTTAAGAACCCAGAGACGAAAAATCAATAAATTTTATGTGCACTCTGGGGGTGGGGTCCGACAAGATGCACACACACTCATGGACATAGATCTGATGAGTTCTTCAATTTCCTTTTTTTATTGCGCAAGCCCTGACAGTTTTATAACTTTATCCAAATCTCCTCACTTCCTCTCCTTCTTCCCCCTCAGAGGACAGTTTTAATCTCCCTCCTTCTATGGGGGTGGATGAACACAGTTGGGGTGCAATTAGTTGTTCAGTGCCAGGTGTTTCGTGTTAATAGTCCCCAGGGAATGTGAAGATAAGACAGATAAGCAAATGGCAAGAGATGCTTTTTTGTGAGCCTTTCCAGCTTTTGTCGACCTCTGGAGACTCCCTAATCAGGTCCCTAAAAAAATGTGCAGATGAGCAGCACAAACATAGGCAGACTCCAAATGCGTCACAGAGCTTTGTATATGTCTACAATTCACAGCCGAAGTCCTGGTTAGCAGCTGAGTTGATCCTTAAAAAGGTAAAGGTAAAGGATGCCTGACAGTTAAGTCCAGTCACAGATGACTCTGGGGTTGCGGCGCTCATCTCATTTTATAGGCCAAGGGAGCCGGCGTTTCTCCATGGTTTTTCTGGGTCATGTGGCCAGTATGACTAAGCCGCTTCTGGCGCAATGGAACACCGAAAACCAGAGCAGTGCATGGAAATGCCATTTACCTTCCCACCAGAGTGGTACCTATTTATCTACTTGCACTGTGATGTGCTTTTGAACTGCTAGGTTGGCAGGAGCTGGGACAGAGCAACGGGAGTTCACCCCGTCGCAGGGATTCAAACCGCTGACCTTCTGATCGGCAAGCCCAAGAGGCTCAGTTAGCCATGGTAACTGACTATCAGGGACTTCAAATATTGTATGTTTGGGTTCATTTTAGGATGGATGAATCTGCCAGTTTTAGTCTCTGTTTCTATTTTTTCCAACCGTAAGTTTTGCTTGCCCCATTTCCAAATACATTTGCAATCGAAAACAACGGCTGGATTTTAGAAAAACATCTCTGCATCTGATCACTTGGGGGGGTGTACATATTCGCAAACTTAGGACAACTGTCTTTGAGGGAAAGAATTTTCATAAAGCTAGTTCGGGGCAATGCCTTTATGGTCTACAAAATTTTTACACAAACAAACTACCACAGAACTGGAAATACAGTTGGCAAAGACAGCAAAAGAATTCAGGTCTACGGTTGATTGAAAATATTTTGCAGTACATCTGGAGGGTTGGCTTATACCTTCTCTGCTAGAGTCTTAGTATAAGGTTATTTCTAGATAGTTTTATATCCCACAGAGATTAAGAAAGATTAAGAGATCAGGAATAAGTATCTGCTGGAAAGGATGTCATGGGAAGGGAACTTACATTCACATCTAGTGGGTCTGCCCTCAAATACAAACATACCTGGTAGAAGTCATGCATTTTAGTTGTATTATAGCAGGTTTTTGCTTACAGGGCTTTCCTTTAGTTTTTTAAGATCTTGCAAAAATGAAAGATCGGGATTTTATTCAAAGCATATCACTGCAAATATATTGAACTTAATTTGGCTCTGGAAAGGCTTTGAAATGCCAAATGTCGGTGAATTAGCAAGATCTGGGACATTATAGTTATAGAACCAAGCAAAATATGTTTTATTAAACTGAGAACAGCCAGAATTTCTGGTGATACACTTACAAGTTACTTGGGAGACTGACATATCCCCTATATACCCAGTAGGCCACTATGGTCTGCGGGACTCTTTATCCTGCAAGTTCCAAATATCTCAGAAGTCCATTCTACGATAAACTCTGTGAAGGGCTTTCAGGGTGGTTGGCCCATTCAGTGGAATAGCATTTCTGTTGAGAGGTGACAGGTTCACTCTGCACTTTCTGGAAACATTTGAATATATTTTTGTTCCAACAGGCTTTCCCAGTTGTATAAATGGGTCTGTGCCATGGGTGTCTATTTTGTATTGCATCTCTTTGTTTTTACTATATTTGTTTTTTGTGAGCTTTTTAAAAAAAGTTTTCATTTCATTTTGCAATGTATTTTGCAATATATTTCATTTTGCAACAAGAACTATTGCAAACTCGTTGACTATCTTTCCATTATTCACCCATAACAGCATTCAAGGTGTCACAAAAGAAAGGGAAATACATCACCACACCATGCAAATAACATACAAAAATAAACTCTAATCAAGGAGATTTCTCCAAAGGCCACCATTAGTCTGTGAGGAATTCCTTATCTGCTCTTCCTGTCTCATGTACATCAATCAGCTTGAGGTGTTTGTGTAGAAGCTGATTAATAAAATTATAATTATTGACAGCAATAATAATGAAGTAAAAATATTTGTTAATATTTTGCTGTGGAAGAACATAGCAAGAACAGCCCCACATCGTTCAGCCTGGACACTGAGGTCCAGCTCCGAGGGCCTTCTGGTGTTTCCCTCCCTGTGAAAAGTGAGGTTGCACGGAACCAGGCAGAAGGCCTTCTCGGCAGTGGTGCCCACCCTGTGGAACGCCCTCCCACCAGATGTCAAGGAGATAAGTACCGTATTTTTCGCTCTATAAGATGCACAAGACCATAAGACATAGTTTTTGGAAGAGGAAAACAAGGAAAAAAATATTCTGAATCCCAGAAGCCAGGACAGCCAGCGGGATCTCAGCACAGCGATCCCGCTGACTGTCTTGGCTTATGGGATAGCCGCGTGCAGCCTCTCCCAGGCAGGGGGTGAAGGCTCCCCATGCCCGGGAGAGGCTGCGTGCGGCTAAGGCTCCCCCAAGAGCCGCGCTCCCTTTAAAGAGCGCGCGGAGTGTGTGTGCGGCTCTTGGGGGCTTTTCCCCGAGGACGGAGAAGGGCAGCCCCTCTCCCTCCTTGGGGAAAAGCCCCAAAGAGCCGCACACACATTCCACACGGCTCTTTAAAGGGAGCGCTGAGCAGAACCTCCCGCCTGCATTCGCTCCATAACACACACACACACATTTCCCCTTACTTTTTAGGAGGGGGAAGTGCGTCTTATAGAGCGAAAAATACGGTAAATATATAACCTTTAGAAGACACCTGAAGGCAGCCCTGTATAGGGAAGCTTTTAAAGGTTTAATAATTTATTATGTTTTCATATACATTAAAATCCACCCAAGGTGGCTGGGGCAACCCAATCAGATGGGAGGGGTACAAATAATAGATTATGATGATCAAGAATGAATTCCAGATGTTGTAAAAACTGGGATTGGTATGGATAGGCTGAGAATATTCTGTTAAGTTTCTTCATATTGTAAACTAACAAAATATTAACAAGGATGATTTTATTTTTGGAACCATGAGGATCAGGTTTTGAATGTGCCTCCATGGAGAAGGGTACCTCTAAGAAGCAGGCATGATGCAATGTGGGACTGACATCATGCATATTTAAGAAAACCACGCGTCTCTCGACGGTCCCACCAGCACCTTCATCTGTAGTACAGAACAGAGGAGTGCCAGCATCTATGGACTGTGGTGAAGTGTGATTTGTGCCCTGGATATGAATCTGACAAGTCTCAAAGACCACCATGCAGATATGCCTCTAGGCTAATGATTCAGGCAGTGAGGGAAATTGCTGGAGAATGCTCCCATCTGTGTCTTACAGTGCTCATGGGTTTTGTCTATAAATTACTCCAGCCACTGAACAAAAAACCCCAAAAACCTTTGCTTCTTTTCTTCTAAACAAATTTTCTTTTACGCGGTTCTCCGCAGAGATTAGTAACATAGTCAAAAGGCTCAGGGTGCTGCTATTAAATATTGCGTTTTCTCCTCCACTCTTTATTTCCATGCATCTTTATTTAGTTTATTTCCCCCCTTTATTACTTCCCGTCGGGTGAAATGCCTTATTGCTTGCTCTTCGTTTATTTATTTGCAGGAACATTTCATTCTGCAGCCAAGGACGTTTTTATTTCTTGCAGCTACCCAGAGGCACTCAGGGAAGCAAAAAGATTCCAACGAACCTTTTCTCCCACAAGCAAACGAAAAAGCGTAACGAAAAGATGAGCACTGACATTAATGGGATGCAGCAACAAATGCAAAAGATCATTTTCATTATGGAAGATTTCCCCTCATCAGCATTAAGTGAGAACGCTTTGTTTCAAATGCCAGAACTGGGTAATGTGAGAAGATTCTACAGCCAAGCATGAACAACACAAGACTCCTGTGGCATCATAAACTAACACATCTATTATGGTATAAGCTTTTGATGGGATGCTGTACATGAATACCATATGTGCCACTCTAAAAGCGTGGGGGAAACTTGTGTGACAAAAGAAAGGTGACAAAAGTAATTCGCACAATTTGAAACAGACTTATGGGCATACCAGAGCTACATAGTTTGGTCCGCTAATCTGTTCCTACTGGCTAATTAACTAATTTTATTTATTAGATTTTATCTGCCACCCTTCATCAAAAGATCTCAGGGTGGTTCACAAGATAAAAATACAAGAAAAAGCACAAATAAAAAGTTAGAACAGAAACAACAAAACAATAGCCCACCCCAAACACATTTAAAAGGACGTATAATATTAATCAGCCAAAGGCATGGTTGAAGAGGCCTGGCACCTAAAATATATATATATATAATGACGGCACCAGGCGAACCTTCCTGGGGAGAGCATTCCACAAACATTCTGCATTTTCATCATAAATGGAACACTGTCAAAAGCTGGAGCATTTCTGGAAGTCAGCCTAAACACAGAAGCTTCCCCCCTTAATTCCTTATCTGTAGTTCATAGCTCTGTGCTGTGGTCATACACTCAGACAAGGATGTGTGGTTTTTGTCTTTGTTGCCTATACTTGGCAAAGGCAATCTGGTGTAGCCAATAATGACGACCAGCAAAAGACCCTTTCTTTGGGGCTTCCCACAGGCATCCGGTTGGCCACCGTGAGAACAGGACGCCAGACTAGATGGGCCATTGTCCACTAGCTCTTCTTATGTTCTTAAAAGCTTAATGAAGAGCCAGTAACAACCGCAGCAGTTGGCTGTTCCTAATACTGGAGAAGCTTGGATTCCAAGCAGCAATTCCGTCCAATGAAGTCATGCCATTCCTGGTCTCTAACTCAAATTGTATCACTACTTAGTCTAGTACTTACCATTACTATGTTGGCTAGGTGAGCAGATATCAGGGCGTACACGCCTCCAGATGAGCCCACGACAGGTGCAGTCATATCAGCAATAGACACTGCCAAGGAACCTTAGAGAGAGAGAAACGGGGAGGGAGAAAACTTTTATTGCAAACACCTTGCTAAGCAAAAGAGTTAATCTTCTTCCTCTTTTTTTTTTTTTTTGCACATGAAGTTCTCAGAAAAAGGGGCATTTACAGATTTTCACAAACCTTGCTAAGCAAAAGAGCTGACCTCCTCCCTCTTTTTCACACATGGAAAGGGCACCTACAGATTGTTGTTAATTCGTTCCGGAGGTCCGTTCTTAACCTGAAACTGTTCTTAACCTGAAGCACCACTTTAGCTAATGGGGTCTCCTGCTGCTGCCGCGCTGCCATTGCACGACTTTGGTTCTTATCCTGAAGCAAAGTTCTTTACCCGAGGTACTATTTCTGGGTTAGTGGAGTCTCTAACCTGAAGTGTATGTAACCTGAAGCGTATGTAACCCGAGGTACCACTGTAGTATGTGAAGCCACAGTCAACGACAGGCAGAGTCAAATCAATCTAATTTTGGGCGTGGGGAGAGAATTGGGCCAGTCCTGCTTTCCAAACCTAAATCATTTTGCTGATGGAGGAAAAGTACAAGGTGGTCTCTCTCTCTCTCTCTCTCTCTCTCTCTCTCACACACACACACACACAGCCTGACCCACTTCCTCTTGCAACTAAAAGACACTTGGGGAGGAAATTGGTCATATGGTCCCCATGCATATTGGCATCCTAGGGGGGGATGAGACACTAGCCTAACTTAAAGTCCCAGCTGAATGAGGTTTTGCACCTGTGAACTCTCTCTCTTCCGAGGGCTCTATGCAGCCCTATACAGTGGTGCCCCGCAAGACGAACGCCTCGCAAGACGGAAAACCCGCTAGACGAAAGGGTTTTCCGTTTTGGAGGCGCTTCGCAAAACGAATTTCCCTATGGGCTTCCTTCGCAAGACGAAAGCCCATAGGGAAATCTCCGGGACAGCGGGGAAGCACAGCGCGTCTTCCCCACTGTCCTCGGACCTCCTCCGAAGGCTGGCGGCGGGCGGAGAGACCTCCTCCCGCCACCAGCCTTTGTTTCTCCACTATCCCGGACGGCTTTTGAAGGCAGGCGGGGGGGAGCAAAGACTTTCGCCCCCCGCCGGCCTTCAGAAGAGGTCCAGGACCTCTTCTGAAGGCCGGCGGGGGGCAAAAGTCTTTGCTCCCCCCTGCCTGCCTTCCCGGGAGAGCGGAGAAACGCAGCGCGTTTCTCCGCTGTCCCGGACGGCTTTTGAAGGCAGGCGGGGGGGGGAGCAAAGACTTTGCACCCCGCCCGCCTTCAGAAGAGGTCCTGGACCTCTTCTGAAGGCTGGCGGGGGGCAAAAGTCTTTGCTCCCCCCTGCCTGCCTTCCCGGGAGAGCGGAGAAACGCTGTCCCGGACGGCTTTTGAAGGCAGGCGGGGGGGAGCAAAGACGTTCGCACCCCGCCCGCCTTCAGAAGAGGTTCTGGACCTCTTCTGAAGGCTGGCGGGGGGCAAAAGTCTTTGTCCCCCCTGCCTGCCTTCCCGGGGGCTCTTAAATCGCCCCGGGACAGCGGAGAAGTCCCCCGCTGTCCCGGGGCTTTTTAAAATGCTGGCGGGCAGCAGTGGAGGCTTCGCTCCCGCCCGCCAGCATTTTAAGATCGCCCCGGACAGCGGAGAAGTCCCCCGCTGTCCCGGGGGTTTTTAAAATGCTGGGGGTGGGAAGAAAAGCCCTTGGTCCCCCCCCCAGCCTTCAGAAGAGGTCGGGGGACAGACTGTCCCTGGACCTGGTCTGAAGTCGGTTTCCATAGGAACGCATTAATTGATTTTCAATGCATTCCTATGGGAAACCGTGCTTCGCAAGACGAAAAACTCGCAAGAAGAAAAAACTTGCGGAACGAATTAATTTCGTCTTGCGAGGCACCACTGTATCTACATCCGTTTTAGAGGTGGGATGGGAGGTTAAAACACACACCATTGTGCTTGTGTCTTCCAATCAGTAGAGCCTTGACCCAGGCTCCGTTTTGCTGAACACCATATCCGCTTTACAACTACAGTGGTACCTCGGGTTACATATGCTTCAGGTTACATACGCTTCAGGTTACACACTCCACTAAGCCAGAAATAGCGCTTCAGGTTAAGAACTTTGCTCCAGGATGAGAAGAGAAAATGTGCAGCGGCGGCCCCATTAGCTAAAGTGGTGCTTCAGGTTAAGAACAGTTTCAGGTTAAGTACGGACCTCCGGAACGAATTGAGTACTTAACCTGAGGCACCACTGTACAGGGAGGCTACCTGTAATTTGCAAGGCTAGGGAACAAAACCAAATGAACTCGTGTAGGACCACACACAAAAACCTATTGGGAACTTTTGTGATTTAGGAACTTTTCTACTAATAATGGGCAGTGTGATAGATAGGTCCCCTGAATTCGTTATTTGAATTGGAGTCGCGTTTTGGAAATGCAATCACTGTTTCGAGACCTTCCAGCGCTCTCACGCAAACGGAGATTGTGCTTGTTTCCCAAAGTCTGCACACCTGACAAGTTAGATCAGAAGCAAAGAGCAGATGATGTGGACAAATGGGCTGGCCGCATGCTAGAAAGACAAGCTAACTGGCAGCTGATGCTATAGCTGCTGAAGGCCAAGCTACAAATTCCCCTTCACCATTTTTAAAAACAAACAAAAAGGTCACTGGAGCTTGCATTGAGGTGTGGAGGGTTCTATTTCTTTCTGTACCAAATTCCTCAAGCTGCTTTTCTCTGCACACACACAGAGAAAAAAGAGACACTCCTCCTCAGCCATCCTTCCTCCACTCTCAAATGCATCCTCCAATGGCTTGAGGACAGGCCACCTGAAGGATCATCCCCTTCCATATATACTTGGCCAGGCCCCAAGATAATCTTCAGAGGCCTCTTCTCTGCCCTCCCCCCCCCAATCACCACAAAATGAGGTGAGGCAGGCAGATAGCTGCTTGTGAGAGGGCCTTTTCAGTGGTGGTGCCCTATTTAATGCCCTACAGTACAGTCGTACCTTGGAAGTCGAACAGAATCTGTTCCGGAAGTCCGTTCAACTTCCAAAGCGTTTGAAAACCAAATTCTGATTGGCGACAGGAAGCTCCTGCAGCCAATCAGAAGCCCCGGAAGCCCCATCAGACATTCGGCTTCCAAAAGAACATTCGAAAACCGGAACACGCACTTCTGGGTTTCAATCGTTCTGGAGCCGATTTGTTTGGGAGCCAAGGCATTTGAGATCCAAGGTACGACTAGACAAAGAACCATTCCTCGCCTGCCGTTTTCCCTCTTCAATCTCTTCCTCCAGCCACGTTTCCCCAATCTTAATTCTCTTCCTTTTGCCTGCCTTCACTGTTGGAGCACCCATTTTTAACTGTGCGGTTGTTGTTGTTGTTTTAAATGAAGAGGCACATCTCATGTGTCCATCTTAACCATCCGGTTAAGAATTTTGCATAAATACTTTTGGTTCCCCTCTCCTGTATCTTTACAACTGCGTTGTATTTGTGTCCGCACTACTGCTGGCGGCACCCACTCCTTTCTCTCCACTGCGAACGATTTGAAATTGTTAAAGAAAATATTTTCACCTGCATGCTGCGAAATAATTGGTTGCAAGCTAAGAGATATTTTTCTGCCTGTGATTTTTCCTGGCAACTTCTTTTTAGACCAGCTCCATCCTTTTAATGAGAAGGCAGCACACCTTCACCCAGCTTTTTTAAAATTCTTAGCATTCCCCCCCCCCATAGTCTGACACAGTTAAGGTGGGGGGAGGGGTGACACAAAATCAGCTGAGGAGAGGCAAAATATGTACGGTGGATGGATGAAAGAGGAGGGGGGTAAGAGTCAAACACACAGAGCTGGAAAACGAGAGAGTCAGAGACAGAGAGCACAGATGTGATATTCTCAAAGTAACAAAAGCAAAAAAGAGCAAAGACAGGTTATTTTGCCAAGAACTTGATACGCTAAATCAAGCCTGCCTGAAATTTAATTACAACTCCCATCAGTCCCTGCAAGCAAGGCCAATGGTCAGGGATGGTGTGAGTTGTAGTCTAGCAATATCTGGAGGTTCCCCACATTTTGGATGACCAAAGACACTGAGGATGGACAGGGATGGGGAAGAGTTGGAATGGTACACACGTGAGCACACACGTAGGCTTCATTTCAGGCCTACTTCTCCCTGAGTTGAAGGAGAGAAGGCAAGTCCACAACCTCCCAAGGTTCCACTGTCAAACAGCTCTTACTGTCAAAAAAACTTTTTGCCGTATGTTTAGTTGGAATTTCCTTTCTTGCCACTTGAAGCCATTGGTTCAAGTCTTACCCTCCAGAGCAGGAGAAAGCAAGCTTGTTCCCTCTTCCATGTGACAGCCCTCGAGATATCTGAAGATGGCTATTGCATCTCCTCTCAGTCTCCTCTTTTCCAGGCTAAACATACCCCAGCTCCTTCCAATTGCTGTTCATAAGGCTTAGTTTCCAGACCCTTGATAATCTTGGTTTCCCTCCTCTGCACACGTTCCAGCTTGTCAACGTCTTTCTTATATTGTGGTGCCCAGAATTGGACACAGTACTCCAGGTGTGGTCTGACCAAGGCAGAATGGAGCGGTACTATTACTTCCCTTGATCTGGACACTATACTTCTGTGAATGCAGCCTAGAATAGCACTAGCTTTTCTTGCTGCTGCATCTCATGGTTTACTCATGTTAATCCTGTGTGGACTCATACCACTGGCTATGTCAGTCATAGGACCAGATACTCCAGATGCACTGAAAAGGACCTTCACTCTAATATGCTCATGGAGCCCCCCTCCCTATTCCTAGCTTTCTAATCCAATTATGATATTTATGCTTCCCACCTCCATGTACTGCCTCATAGCACATAATTCTTTTTTTAAAAAATTGTTCAATAAGGCAGACTTCTATTGCAGCTTTATTTGTTCATTGCAGCAAGACTTGCTATATAGGTAAGGACCGGGGCACGGGAGAGGGACAAATAGCTAAACCTGCCAATCACTGTCCCAGCCATCCCATGACACCCTCCCTGCAGTTGCTTCTTGCTCTCTCCTCTTGTTATAATTAGATTTGATCTATCATCAAGCCAGCTTCCTTCACCTCCAAACTGCAGAGGCGCAAGACGTGAATAACAAATGCAGTACAAATGTAAAAATCAATCAGTCCATGAAGATCTATCATCCCATAGATTCACTGGTCATTGGAAAGTTGCCATGTTGGGCCCCAACCAAAATCCTTCAGCTGACAATTACTGACACTGCGGTAAACAAAGGTAAAGCCAAATCGGATATATAGATTAAAAAATAACTCCTGGGTACTTTATCCCTCAGGAAATCTCTTCACATGAAAAAAGGGTAGTAAGCCCCAAAACTGCATCTGTGACCTTATAACTGATTTCTCCCCCTCATAAGAGGAGGTTAAGGGGTGATATGATAGCCATGTTCAAATATATAAAAGGATGTCATATAGAGGAGGGAGAAAGGTTGTTTTCTGCTGCTCCAGAGAAGCGGACACGGAGCAATGGATCCAAACTACAAGAAAGAAGATTCCACCTAAACATTAGGAAGAACTTCCTGACAGTAAGAGCTGTTCGACAGTGGAATTTGCTGCCAAGGAGTGTGGTGGAGTCTCCTTCTTTGGAGGTCTTTAAGCAGAGGCTTGACAACCATATGTCAGGAGTGCTCTGATGGTGTTTCCTGCTTGGCAGGGGGTTGGACTCGATGGCCCTTGTGGTCTATTCCAACTCTATGATTCTATAACTAATGCTTAATTATAGTAGTTCCTGATCCTGCACTCACTGTACAGCTCAACTGAGAAATGGGATCCTCCTTCATGAGGGTCCTGGTTGCGTGCGGACCCTAAGGCACCCCACAGGGTAAGCTGTGGCTGGGCATGGCCCAAGACTTAACAGTCGGGTCCTGGGATCGCGCCAGGCTGTTTGGGATGGACAGCGTGATTCCGGGGCCTATAAAAGCAGCAGCGCGACGTAATAGGGGGCACTTGCTTTGTGCTGCTGAACACCCTCCCCCCTCCCTAATTTTAGGTGGTGCTGCTTTGGCCTTGCTTTGGATTGGGTCACCTGTTTTGGAACAGGGGCTGGGTAGGGATTTTTCCATTTGGCAGATTGGCTGTAGCCACTTGGTTTTCACCTACCCCCTTAGCAATCGTCACAACTTTGTAAGGTTAGGCGGTTAGGCATTGGCTTACTGAAATGTGTGGGAGGGGAGGTGCGGCCATCACCTGCCCCTCCAGAAACAGGGTGTTCCGGTAAAGGAATCTGGGGGTCCTGGATCTCGCCTGAAGTCGCTTGAGGGGCTAGGGCCATGCCAGGACCACAGAAACCCCGGGGTGAGCTTCGGTTGATCTTCATCAATATTGCTCCCTTGTTTGGTGTTTACCCGTTCAGACTACCAGCCAGTGAGGCAGAAGTCAGTTATAGTCTGTTGCCAATGCCTAAGCCAATACCGCTCACTTTGCTGTAATCAATAAAGCTGTGGCCTAAAATTTTGCCCAATAACTTAAACTAAAATGATGTGTCAATTATTTACAAGGGGAGGGCTTGGGGGCCTCGAAGCACAAACACGGCACTAGGAAAAACTACAATAACTTTCTCAGTTACCAACAGAAGTCCTGTTCACATGTCTTCATCTGAACATACAATAGCTTAGAACTGGGGCAGGGGCACAGACCCCCATAATCCTGGGCCAACGGGCTCCCATCCCAACTTTCACATTTTTAGTGCAAACGTCTGAAGGAGGTTTCTATGTGTGCTCATTTAACAAGCTTAGAATCATCACAGCAATTAGCAAACAGGAACCTTGACAAGACAGGGGATCCTACTGCAGAGAGATTTGTAGGCACACTGAAGCGGAGCCCATGTGCCTGGAGGTTGGGAGAAAAATTTGATCAGGTCCACATTTTAAAGTGGACCAACGCAATTTGCACTCCCTGAAACAATCAGCACAACAATTCACAGCTATCCTTTGTAATTTGAACTTCTATGAATCTTGTGATGTAGGCAAACAACGTGTACAAAAAGACATACATAGGTGAAAAGAACATAACAGTGTATTATATTAGGGGGGAATGCTTGCAAAATATATATACAGTATTAGACAAATTGTACATTAGAAGGAAAGCAAACTAAAATGTTAGTTTTTTTTATGTAGCTTAAAAAAAATGACAAACTGGTGCAGAAATGTGGAGAACGAAACTAAATACGAGAAAAATAAGAAAGTGAGAGAAACCAAATTTGACAGATTCGTCCATTCCAAACAGGGGCCGGTGTGGTCTGAAACAATCAGCTTGTCACAGTGCCTTCAAAGGAGGAACTATGATCACACCTTGAGAAACTCTAGACTTGGTTCGATTTTACTTCCATGCAGTGTCATATTTTCAAAATTACTGCAACCAGTGATATTTTTCTAGAAGAAGAGGTGCCGGAGCTCACGGTGAACGCCTCCCTTGTTCTCTAATAACGGCAATGGCGCCCACCTGAGAGGTGCCAGAACTGAGTTACGGTGAGCTCCTGCTGAAAAAAAAGCCCTGACTGAAACATTTATATAGTGTTGATAAGGACAACATTATGGTGGCGAAAGATAAAGAATCCCAGAAATTTAGCTAGCTAGAATGATGATAATAGCAATTATAAATTTGCCCACCCATACCACTCCGCTGACCAAGGCAAATGATGAGCACCTTCTCTCACAGGAACCTCAACCATGGAGATGAACCACAATTTCAGTATCAGCCAATATCAGGTTTATTCACCCATACAACATACCTGCTACAACTCCAGCAATGTAGACAAACCCGATCCTTGCAGCACCATGTACCATTTCAAGGGGGACTCCAACTAGAAGCTGAAGGACAACATTGAGTCCAAGGTGCTCTATCCTGGTGGAAATGGAAATAGCATTAAAAAATAAAATAAATAAAATTCCTGCATTACAGGGGGGTTGGATTAGATGACCTTGGAGGGTCCCTTCCAACTTTACAATTCTGTATGATTCCCTTTGGTACCAACAGACAAGTACAGAGACTTTGTATAAATCAACAAGTCACCATCTTAGTGCCAGGGTTTTGGGTGGGTTTTTTAAAGTTTATTTTTAGCTAGGTTAAAATAGATTATTTCCCTAAGTGGGGGGGGGGGTTTGAAATGTCATGATTCGGGTTTAATAACCCTGTCTTTAAGCTATGTTAATTAGCAAAGTATATTTGCAAGCAGAACAATTAAGGATATTGCTTATAGACTGGAAGACTCTGGTATAAATCTCAGCTCATCCACTAACTGGTTGGACTGCCTTAGGCAAGCCACCGCCTCTTAAGATAGCTAGAAAATGGCCCTCACAGTTCCAAGTACTTAAGTAGCTACAAAACTTAACCAGCCTTGATTTACTGCCTTCTCCCACCTATTATAGCCAGGGTAGGGGGGAGAACCCACAGATTGTCATGTTAGCAAACCTAAAAGTGCCTTTGTACTCAGGATCATTTAGAATTGGGTTTGTTTGTTTGTTTTTAATGGGAAAATACCATTTGGAAGAAGATTTTAAGAATCCCTTATATAGAAGGAAGTAGAATGAGATGAAGGGTAGTACCTAAGAAAAGTCATGGGAAGATGCCCAATGTTTTCTAATGCCTCTTGCGGGGCAATGATTTATTTCGATTAGAAGACCTTAGAGGTTCTGTTCCTCAGTGTGTTTGATGCATGCCTGTTCTTTTAAAGAAAGGCTCAAGAAGTATTCCATTCAACCCAACTCCTACTGCAGCCAGGAGCATCCGAGCCCCATGGTCAATAAGCACCCATAAAACATAATTAGCTTTCCCATGCTCTGAATGTGTCATTCTTTAGATGACAATATAATTGATTTATCAAGGCTTCACCTTCTCCGCAACCAAACAAATGGGCCCTCGAATCAATGCAAGTCATTAGTTATGGCAGCAATACAAATGGGTGGGCCCCACAGACAATTAACGTCCGCTCAGCTTTAAAGCGGAAGGCTAAAATTTACAGCTTTGGTTTCTTAGAAAGCTTTTCTCCATCGGGATCAAGACACAAACAGCACCTTTTGGGGAGCTCTCAGTCACCCTTAACAACTGCCTTCTCCTCAGCTACCTTCTGGCTGTCACAAACGCCCATAAAAAAAGCAGATGAGCACAGTAAATTAAGAGTTTCAAATTAACATTTTAAAGTCACAGCAGGAAGTATGACAACAATAGACTCCACCACCTTTATATTAGCCTGCCTTTTTGGGGTGGGGAGAGAGGAATAATGGCCTCACCATTAAAAGAAGAAAGAAAGAGGTTATTACTACTCTTCCAGAGATTTATTTTATTCTCTGAATGTGAAAATAATCTAATGAGGGTAGGCTGGCTATAAATGATGGTTTAGCTACCTAACTGTAGTGAGTATTCCATCATTAAAAAATAAATAAAGCAGGGGTTGCTTCTCAAGTGGGGAATGTGTGTGCACACGGTTTTGATAGCTTACATTTCCAAAAGATTTAGAATCCACTCCAAAAAAAAAAAAAAAAAGTAATAAGGCTGTGCTGGCTAAGTCTCTTAATATTTACAGATGTGAGGCATTGGATAGTATATCTTCCCAAGAGTTTCCCTTGGAAACCAGCCAAAGTTGTGAAAGAAACGTGATAATTAAAAGGTTCAGCACATTTTTCCAAGCAACACGACAGCCTAACAGCAACAAGATACTTGTCAAGGCAGAGGTTAGCATTTTGTGGGAAAGGGAGGCATACTTAAACATAGTTTAAGCACTTATATATTTTTAAGGTTTCAACCTGTTTTGCAAATCTCTATGGACAAAGGCAGTCCTTTTTGGCTCATATTGCACGGGTTTCAAAATGTAAAAGTGGCATTACAGGGGTGGGTCGAAGAGCGTGACCAGGCCTGCAGTGGGCAGGGAGACAGTGTTTAATCCTGCCTGCTGGTACTGTCCCAATGAAAATCTCTCACCACCACCTCAAGCAGCTATTTCCAACTTGAAGAATGCTCCTATCAGAAAGCAAGCAAATTATGCAAAAATCCTGCAGATCTGTCAGGCAAGGATACTTAGCGCTATGAAGTCAAGAATGATATACCCATATTTCCTCCTTCAGCTTCTGCTCCTGATGTCCTATGACCAGCAGGCAATATAACCAGCTCTTACAGAACATGGTTTTATCCAAAGATCGCAAATCATTTTTTAAAAATGGGGATTGTGTGTAATACTTTTTGATGGACACCTAAGAGCAACAGGAAGGGACGCGGGTGGCACTGTGGGTTAAACCACAGAGCCTAGGACTTGCCGATCAGAAGGTTGGTGGTTCGAATCCCCCGGATGGGGTGAGCTCCCGTTGCTCGGTCCCTGCTCCTGCCAACCTAGCAGTTCGAAAGCACGTCAAAGTGCAAGTAGATAAATAGGTACCGCTCCAGTGGGAAGGTAAATGGCGTTTCCGTGTGCTGCTCTGGTTTCGCCAGAAGCGGCTTAGTCATGCTGGCCACATGACCCGGAAGCTGTACGCCGGCTCCCTTGGCCAATGAAGCGAGATGAGCGCTGCAACCCCAGAGTCGGTCACAACTGGACCTAATGGTGGGGGTCCCTTTACCTAAGAGCAACAGGATTCTCCCAGCGTTTTAGTTTCAGAGCAGAAGACCTAGGGCATGATTCAGGTTTAAGGGGCCCTCCGGTGGTGCCCTCTCCTCTGTTGATGTGTTGTAGCGGGCTTGTCTGGCAGGAGTGGAAGCCGCAATACTCCAAGCAGTGCCAAGGTGGTTGGAGACGACTATTTCGTGACAATAAGCTGAAGGGGGCCATTGTCTGAAACTAAAACGGCAGCTAGACCCAGCTGCCTGCCACTGCTTGGAGTGCCAGGCTGGATTTGTTTTTATGAGGGGGGCAGGGTAAACATCAGCAGGGCCCCCCAGCAGCTGCCCAAGAATGCCAGGCAGTGGCTTAGTTTGTGTGTGTGTCACAGGGGCAGTTGCCCCAGGCACAAAATTGTTAGGGGGTTCCAACCTTCAACAGTTATTAAGTGCTGCCTCAATACAGCTGTGTGCGTCCATTGCTGGGCTTTGTTGAAAATGGCTTCTCCATGCAAACCAGGAAGTGGTCTTTCCAGACAATGGAACTACTCTTATTTTCTTATCTCTGTGGCTGGGATCTCCTGGGTGACATGGACGCCGTTAGGCAGTTGAATGTGCATGCGTACTCCGTCTGTTTCCCTCCCTCTCACCCTCTGTACAGCCCCGGGCGTTGGCAACCCACGCTATGCCACTGATGGCAGCTCTGTGTCGCCCCCGTCTTTCCCATGAGGTAAGGGAACCCAACCCCCCCAATCCCAAGAAATTCAGCCCCCCTTTTCCCCTAGAACTCACCCTGCATGCATGAATATGTAGGTGAGGTACCTCCAGGCCTGGGCACGGAGCTGAGGATGATATAACAATGAGTTCTTCAAATATAAGGGATGGGTGACTTGCAGCACAAACCTATCTAGTACCACTCCATTGTAAAGAAAGAAGGCAACCTAGGAAAGCAGGGAGATCGCAGAGTTAAGTGTAATTCATTCAAGCATCTGGCCGAGAAAATATGCGCAAGGAGACATACAGGCTTAATTCCAGCAAGTGCAGTTGTGGCTAAAGGTCTGTCCAGATCTTCTCCCTCACATGTTTGCTGTACATGTGGGGGGGGCAGGGATGTGGGATTACGCTGCTACCCGTTTAAGCTTTGATGGCGACCCACTCAATAACCGCGCCCCCAATAGCTCCGCGTTTTGTGCCAGTGTGGAAGGGGGCCAATGTGTGCACACAGACATGTGCACACCGCTCCTCCTTCACAGGAGCAGAACCTCAGGTTAGCCAGACTTCCTGCTTCTGTGGAGCAGCTCTGTGTCCATACACTGGCATGAGCTAAAGCCCCCTTTCACACGGGTGTCACACATGTGGCTGTGGGAGGGTGGCTGGTGGACATGCAGACATCAATGGGACTGGTTAGTTGCAACCACCATATTTTTCTGTGTATAAGGCTAGGTTTCCCCCCTAAAAAATAATGTCAAAAATTAGGGGCCGTCTTATACACGGGTAGTGATGAGGGTGGACTGGCGACAATCTGAATCCCCCAAAATAGGGGGGCGTCTTATATATGGGGGCATCTTATAGATGGTAAATTCCGTCCCAACGCTTTCAGCAGGATTCAGACTAACTTCTGCTTGGTGCATTTCCATATGGGGGACTTTAGTCTGATTCTTGTTTAAATTGGTTCTTAAAATAATGCTAGCTAGAAGATACACACGCATTTTTTTAAAAAAACTCTCTTCTACTTTCTATGACCACATTCATACATGCCATACATGGCAAGAGGCTCAAAGACATTTTTTTTTAGTGGCGCCCAGTCCGACACTTGTATCTCAAGACTCAAGATTGGGAATAGGGTTTGTTCCTGAAACCCAGAACACCTGCCCATTTATTAAAATGTATTGACAGCCTTTCTACAGCACCTCCCATTGTTTTAAATTGTTCAGTGTGGAATAATTAAAACAACTCTAAAATATACTCAGTCAGAAACGCAGAATTGCTTCTCTTCTCCCTCTCTTCTACTTGGAGACATATGGTATGACACAAATTGGGACACAGCTGCACATTTCATCATGCTGCACATTTCCCCATCTCACCTCACATTATTAACTGCAGAAATGAGGGTGCAGAAACTCAGGTCTTGCGTTATACAGTGGTACCTCAGGTTACATACGCTTCAGGTTACATACACTTCAGGTTACAGCCTCTGCTAACCCAGAAATAGTGCCTCGGGTTAAGAACTTTGCTTCAGGATGAGAACAGAAATTGTGCTCCGGCGGCACGGCAGCAGCAGGAGGCCCCATTAGTTAAAGTGGTGCCTCAGGTTAAGAACAGTTTCAGGTTAAGAACGGACCTCTGGAACGAATTAAGTACTTAAGCCGAGGTACCACTGTACCAGATACTATTACCTGCTCCGCGCCCTGGTTAATGTCTAGTTTCAAAAGCACCACATTTCAAAAGCACCAGAAATCTGGTGGGTCTTCATAGGGAGGCTGCTCCATAACAAACGCAGCTTGCTGGGTGGAGAAGAGCTGGTATTATAGCTTCCTGGCAGGTGGGTGACTGGGAGGGAGAAGGACAAGGCAGTGGGGAGGTCGCCATGGCGCATATGCACAGGCCAAGCCAATCCGGTGCTCTTGCCAGTGCGCTGGCACTACATCAGCCACCCTGCCATCTTGCCCCTTCCCTCCCTCCCCAGTAAGCAGCAGTGATTCACCGGCCAGGAAGGTAGCACAGTGCCTCTGCTCCATGCAGCGAGCTTCTTCTGGGCTACACTGCTAAACACTACTAGAACTCCCCTCTTAGAAACTTAAGGTACTGAGAGCAAGGCCCCACCGGAAGATCTTGAAGGTTCATATTGCAGGAAGCACTCCTGCACATGCTTGAATCCTTATAGGTAGGGTCTTAAAGGTCTCAAAACTGCTCTTTGTATTGGGTTGGGAAGCACAGAGGCAGGCAGTGCAGATGAGCAACAAGCCATTGAATAAGTTGCCTACTATCCAGTGGTGCAGTTAGACTATTTTAGACTTTGGACCTTTTGGATTTATGGAGGTCCCCTTCTTTGGTTTGTAAGGGTTGCTACTCCATGTGCTTCAACATGTGGTAAGTCAGCTGTGCTATGTCGTTGGACCCTCCTACTCATTCTGCTGAGTGGGGCCTGGACACCTGACCTAAAGTCCTACCATTGATGTGCTGCCCACCCCTACAAGCAGGGCTTTGCACCAGCTGAAGCTGGAAATCTCCTCTTACATGTGAGATTTCTAGGGCATGATCTTTGCCATCAAGGAAGAGCCCCCAGCAACCTTAGAAGATAAAAGGCCCTCCTGGCACAGTTAACACCCAGGAGCAACCTTCAGGTTACTCACGGACCTAGTTAGCAAGGATGTGACCCCCCACCTGGAACAGGCAAACACACTTCCCCGGAATCTCTTTGCTAGCTTGGCAGATACTTGCCTCTACAATGGTGATGGCTATCATGAACCAAGGTGGGGGGCAGCAGGTGTAGCTGTCGTAATACCACTTCCGATCGATCTCACGCGGCAGAGTCTCATACGCAACGTGGCGGATCAGCCGCTGGGAAAGGCTCAGTCCCGTCTCCTCCAGCAGGGCCTTGCTGCACAGCCTCCGGTTCCCCTGCAAGATGGCTTGGCGAAAGCTGTTGGACCTTTTGTTACTCATCTGGAAGATCAAAGGAAAGGATGAGGAGGGGGAATGAACAAGCTGAAATCAAGTAATGGCTTGGTGGTTAGACTGAATGGGGTGATATCGTATATTAGCTGTACTCCGAGCAGACCCACTGATATAAATTACCGTATTTTTCGCTCTATAAGACGCACCAGACCACAAGACGCACCTAGTTTTTGGAGGAGGAAAACAAGAAAAAAAATATTCTGAACCTCAGAAGCCAGAACAGCAAGAGGGATCGCTGCACAGTGAAAGCAGCAATCCCTCTTGCTGTTCTGGCTTCTGGGATAGCTGCGCAGCCTGCATTCGCTCCATAAGACGCACACACATTTCCCCTTACTTTTTAGGAGGGAAAAAGTGAGTCTTATAGAGCAAAACATACGGCAGTTCATAAGTTACGTAATTCCACTTATTTCAATATGTCTACTCTGGCTATGAACGTAGTTGGATATCACTCAGGGAATTAAGTCGGCTTGGCAAACGAGGGCATGAAAAAAATGCCAAGATGGAGAAGTTTAGCAAATTTAGGTAAAATGAACCCAGATCAGGGTACCTTGCAGCCCTTTCTACTTATATCAAGCTCTAGGTCAAAAGAACATTAACTGGCTCTCATTCCACAAAGAATTACCCCCGAATTAACATAAAACAAATGTGCTAAATGTATCACGTGGGTTCTACTCCACTGAAAATCTCATGTAGAATAGCCATTACCATTTCTTTTCAGAAAGTGGTCGTTAAAATTGGTTGTTAGAAGACTAATTTTTGGTGCCTCCAAACAAGAAACATCCCATATGCTCTTATTCAAAAAGGCACTTCTGTGCAAAATAACAACATTTGATCTATTAATCAGAGCAGGATATAGAAAAGGCCTGACTGGCAAGCTCTACTCCTTCATTGAGATATGTGGGTAGTGTTTGGTTTTTTTTTGTAAGAAAGCAAGTGTAGGAAGAGATATGTGGTGCAGTATGCCAGGTAATGACTGGAATTTAGTCAAATATTCAGCCTTAGCTGAATCTGCAGGAAAACTTGTACAAGTATTGTTTCAGTGGTACTTAACAGCATAACATCCATACACCTTCAATGCGGAGTGGCTATTGGAGATGACAATTTGCTCATACTGACTTTTATCATGCTGCTTGGACATACTTGCCTATTATAGGGATGGGAACCTGTGGCTCTCTGGATGTTGTTGGACTGCAACTCCCACCAGGCTCAGCCAGCATGGCCAACAGTGAGAGATGCCAGGAGCTGTGCTTCAGCAATAGCTGGAAAACCATGGGATTCCCTGTCCCTGTTCTATACAGAATGACCGGGGCGAAAGTAATTGATTTACCATATTCTTCGCCCTATAGGACACACTTTTTCCCCTCCAAAAATGAAGAGGAAATGTGTGTGCGTCCTATTAAGTCCTAAATACTTAATAGTAAGCATTTGTTGGAAGCCACCCAGAGCGGCTGGGGCAACCCAGTCAGATGGGCAGAAGACGAAGCAGAAGAAGCAGCAGCAGCAACAAAAATGGGCTTTCCTTTGTAGTAGAAAAATGTCATTACTATCTGATTAATTTAAAGGAATCTGTACAATTGCACTCATCTCATACTTGAAACAAAATAAAAAAAATCCTTCTAGTAGCACCTTAGAGACCAACTAAGTTTGTTATTGGTATGAGCTTTCGTGTGCATGCACACTTCTTCAGATACCTTCTACAGATACCTTCTTCAGAAAACTGAAGAAGTGTGCATGCACACGAAAGCTCATACCAATAACAAACTTAGTTGGTCTCTAAGGTGCTACTGGAAGGATTTTTTTTATTTTGTTTGGACTATGGCAGACCAACACGGTTACCTACCTGTAACTTTACTTACTTAAACGAGCACCCCCAATTTTAATTTATTAAGTAGTTCTTGCTCTTAACTAGAACTGGGCAATATCTGGATTTCAGCATTGTGATATAAATCCAACTAAATATCGCAACATACTGATATATCACAGTGTGTGAAATAAGGATGGAGACATGCAAAGGCATTGGCTGGCTTCACGGTTTTTCCTGCATCGTGATTTTTGCATAGCATACACACACATCATGATTTGTGATATATTGCCAGGTCAAAAATTATGAAACCAGTATCACAATATGGACTTCAAGCTGGTTTTGGATTCTTTTTCGCTGAGCCCTAACAGCTCTCACACACATCATGATTTGTGATATATCGCTAGGTCAAAAACTATGAAACCAATATAACGATATGGACTTCAAAGCAGTTTTCGGAGATATATCAAAATAAATATACTCATAATGAATTGAAACAATGCATTCCAGCTTAAGATATATAGAGGTCTGTCCTGAGTTAATCACACAACAGCAATGGACTGTATAATGTGTTTACAACCCTAATCTACTGCATGCTTGTCATAAGAAGAAGAAGAAGAAGAAGAAGAGTTTGGATTTGATATCCCGCCTTTCACTCCCTTTAAGGAGTCTCAAAGCGGCTAACATTCTCCTTTCCCTTCCTCCCCCACAACAAACACTCTGTGAGGTGAGTGGGGCTGAGAGACTTCAGAGAAGTGTGACTGGCCCTAGGTCACCCAGCAGCTGCATGTGGAGGAGTTAATGCTGCTTTGGTTGACAAATACCGATTAACACAAGTATTAGAAATGTCTCCCGCAAGAGAGGAGAATTTGACTCGTATTTAACTTTGTAAAGCTTTGAATTCTCCAGTGATAAACTGCTGACAGTAAACTGGGTGCAGACCCTGGCTCCAGCATGATTACAACCTCTTGTTTTGGCATATGCCCCCTAGTATTCATACATTCCTGCATAATGAAGTGCAGCAAGTATGTGGGATGCTCCAACAACACACGCTGTGAAAGCTCTTGTTCAGTTGCCAAAACCCCTGCCAAGAGCCCTTTACTCCAATCCACTACAACAGTTTCCTTGACATCTGCTTGTACATAGCTGCCAGGCCTCACTCAGTGTGAAAAATGAAGTACAAAGGCATTAGAACCCCTGCCCTTCTTTTTTCCTTGGCTCATGGCCTCAGCATATCCAAGCCCAAACCTTCTGCTTTTCAGACATACAATAGATACAGTGGTACCTTGGTTCTCAAACGCCTTGGTACTCAACAACTTGGAACCCGAACACTGAAAACCTGGACGTAAGTGTTCCGGTTTGCAAACTTTTTTGGAAGCCGAACATACTCTGTTTTGAGTGCCACACTTCCATTTTGAGTGTTACGCTTCCATTTTGAGTGCCACACTTCTGTTTCGAGTGTTACGCTGAGGTCTGTCTGCTTTTGCTATATATTTTGCGTTTTTGTGGCTCTTTTTTGTTTTTGTGACTGTGTGGAACCCAGTTCAGATACTGATTGATTGACTGTGTGACTGCAGCACATTGTTTATTGCTTTCAGTTTATGGATCATGTTAAAATGCTGTTTTAGGGGTTGTTTTTAAATGTCTGGAACAGATCAATCCATTTTGCATTACTTTCTATGGGAAAGCGTGCCTTGGTTTTGGAACACTTTGGTTTTGGAACTGACTTCTGGAACGGATAAAGTGAAAGCAATAATCATTGCACTGTACTATAAAATAAATAAGACAGTATTGTAGATGATAAAAATTAAAATTATTATTATTTTCTTACCTGCACTGATGACAGTCATTGTTTGGATGGGGAGCTTTCATCCATTTCCGCAGTCACACAATCAATCAATCAATCAATCAATCAATCGCTGAACTGGGTTCCACACAGTCACACAAAAAAACCCAACAACCCAAAAAAGCCTCAAAAACAAAAACGCAAAATAAATAGCAAAAACAAAAGAGCCAAACTTAATCCATTTGACATCCGAAATGTTTGAAAACCAAGGCACAGCTTCTGATTGGTGCAGATGCCCCAGAAACAATAGTCGACAGCCGCATCGGATGTTCGGCTTCCAAAAAATGTTCAAAAACCAGAACACTTACTTCCAGGTTTGAGAACCAAGGTACTGCTGCATAGGACTTTACTGAATTGGCTGCTTCCATAAATTGTTATTTATGGAAGTCCACACGCACCCCACAAGCAGAGTTTCTGTGACTTTTTCAGCTACACAAAAGCAGAAATGCAGCACAATGAAGCCCCTCTACTCTCCCTTAATCGCTGTATCTGCACGGCAGGAAAAGATGTGCCTGATTATTTCTGATTATTGAGCAGCTGTTAGAAGTATGAAAACCCAGCCAAAAAACACTGGCAACGCTAAAGGAGAATGCTGGACTAACTAGATCCACCATTGAGCTTGTTCACAAAAGTAGGAACACCAGAGTGTCCCCAAGTGCCCCAGACACTCTCTTCCAGGGAACACGAATGAATTGGAAGCAGAAAGCTTGCTATGCAGACATTTCCCTGCTTTCAGGTGCAGGACTGTAAATCACGATACCTGAGCAGCCTTTTCTTTAAAGCTGCAAATAAGGGTCATGAATTTTTCCAAATTGCTGCATGGCAGTAGCAATATATCCCAGCGAAGAGCACAGGAGACCCATGATTGTCACAGCCATACAGTTTCATAGCTTTCTTGACAATAGAGTACAGTTCAAATAAAACCCTGTTCCGTTTAGAAATGGCATATGTAAAAAAAAGAAGAAGAAAAGTGTTTGCCTTACAAGAACATAAAGAGTCATTCTGGATCAGTCTGGCATCCTGTTCTCACAAAGGCTAACCAGATGCCCATGGGAAATTTGCAAGAAGAACTGTTTGGTTTGGACTGCTGGGTGGCATGAAAACATTTCTCCCCACTTTAAACCAATAGCAAACTACAAACAACTAACAGTTAAAAAGGAGCAACAAGGCTTAAATGGTGGAATACCATAGCAAACATATTCAAAGCTGGTTCTGCAATGATCCCTGTTAGCCACTGTTTGTGACTGGGTCCTGGGGTCTGAGAAGATTTGCAGTTACCACTCCCTTAGGCTCAGAACTTCTTAGTAATTGGATAAATACAGCAAGGAGAGCAATAATGAA